ACTCTGGTCTGTGGACCAGGTCTGTACACACCTGCACCCACGTGTGGGCTGGGTACAAGTTCTTATCCATGGAATGCTCCTGGTCACATCTCAGAGGGCCTCTAGGGGGCAGCATTGCCTAACTCTGGCTGCCTGAGAAGCAGGGGGCTGTGGGCCGGGGCTCTGGGACTGAGAATCCATGCCGCTGAGAGCTTTGGTAAGATGCAACTCCTCTCTTGTTCTTGAGCAAAGATTTATCTTCTATGATAAATTAACAGCATGCACAGAAGTGCAATTTTTTCCACATTCAGGAATTTTACGGTAAAAATTTCACAGGCCTCCTAGAGGCTTCTTCTCATGGCTTTTGTTCAAAGGTTATTTTAGGAGTCGTATGTACCCTTTTCAAAGCATAAACATAGACTTTGCCTGAATCCTATGGCATTATGAATGCATCACTTCATCTCCGATTGATATTAGAAAAGACCTTCCTCTGAGGCTTTTTTCTCCAAATTGAATGAGAATATTTCTGTTGGACCAGACAGAAAAATGTTAAAGGGGCAAAGGGCCTTTGGGCATTTTACCCTCATGGATTTAGATAACCTCACCCCTCCTACCTCGGTTTTCTCTTTCTCGTGCCTGATCCCAGGACCAGTCCCTCTGGTGTCCCCTGCACAGCCGTGGCCCATCACTGGTTCCTTGGCCCGCCACGCAGGCGAGTGCGTTTCCACCGTGGACATGTTTTGAAAGGTCCAGGATGTTGAGGGAATAAGCTGGTTTTTAAAAAAATTACCAGGAGGAAGGGAAAAGGTTTCACTCACAAGTACACATGGCACTTCCCCTGGAGCCAAGGGGAAGTGATTTCTATAGACTCACACAGACTCACTCCAGCGCCTTTTCCTCACGCTGTCCTATTTTTAGGTGTAAAAAGATTGAAATGTGGGATGGTGTTAAGTTGACCAGACTAAGTGACATATTTTGAACAATTGGCAGGAACCTAGATATGTTTTGAAAAATATCTGGAGAAAGAAGACTTTTAAAATGTTGTGATTCTTTTTTTAGAATTTTCCTTGTAAGAGCAGAACTAATAGTAGTGACTAACATTTACTTCTCGTTCCACTTGGGGAACGCCACCGTATCTGATCTCCCTGGCAACTTGTGAGGCAGGCGTTATTGCCATGCCCATTTTATAGGAGAATAAACTGACATGTGGGTCCAGGCGAGTAATTTGCCCAAGGTCACAGTGTGGGAAATGTTAAGTCAGGGTAAGTCGGGATTTGAACTCAAGCAGTCTGACTTCAGAAACTGTGCTCTTAATGTTATTCCACATTCTCTCTTACGAGAAGTATTGTGTCGTAATTATTTGTGGATAAAACATTAACTCGTATGCTGTGGCAGTGGAGTCACATAGAGGTGCAGCTATGCATTGAAGAGTGTGGAGAGGCAAGACTTGTTAAAATGGTGTCTGTAGTTTTAAGTGGTATTTAATGATAGTATTAGCAAATGGTAGTATTTGCTGGAGAAGAGGAATTTTGTAGCTGTCCCCACCCTGACAGGCCCCCCCACCCGGCAGCCTGGCCCACTGGCTGGGTCACACTGGAATAGGGAGGAAAGGCCTGACCTACCTGTTTAAATAGGGGTGAGAGGGGAGTTGGGACCCCTGTAAACTGGTGTCTTATCTGGGACCTGCAAATGCTCTACCAGCGCTCTTAATTAACGTTCTTTTGAGGATATTGCTGTCTTTTTCTAATGGGCTTTTAAAAACCTCCATTTGTGTTTTCTCAACAAATTTAAAAGAAGTGATTCTAATTGCTGCCAATGTTAATAGATCCTCACTCCTAAAATCATCGTTTAACTAAAACTAGAGGCTGCATTGACTCTGGCCCTCGGTGTCTTCCAAGAGCAGCCTGTGGTTAGATGTTCACCGTCAGACACCTTCCTCCGTGATGCTGATTCAGTATTTGCGGTAGAGTTGGCTCCTTCACCTTTCTTTCCTTCAATGCTAATGTTTAGATTCCATGAGAGAAGAGCAATCTTTTTTGGATATACATTTGCTTAAATCATTCAACTCCACTGAATGAGCATAAAATGCCAGGGCAGTACCACTTCCAAAGACTCGGCAGTTTAATATGCAGTGTCTCTCCTTTGACGCCTTAAGTGTTCTCTGTTTTCCACCCATCCGTTAGCTGCTGGACCTGAGTCCCAGGCAGGTGTGCTTGGGGGGTGGGGTGCCTGTTCTGGGGCTCCATTACACAGTGACCAGGTTGGGGCAGCTTCAGCGCAGCACGTGGACTAAGGTGGAAGCCACAGTTGAGACTTTGAGAGAAGGGAGTGAAGTAAGGTCTTTTTGTTTGTTTGTTTGTTTGTTTTCAGCAGAAGAAATGCAGTTGCAAAGGTCCACTTTTTCATACACGTTTGTCTTAGGATAGGATTTTGAGGGTGGGAAGACTATAGCCAGTGGTCAAGTGCTGCTGAAAGGTGTTCTCTGTTGGAAGTGGCCAGTCACTTGCCCCTGGCATTGGAAAGCAGGTTACCATGAAGCTGATGGAACCATTTCAGCTTTCAAAAAGTTCACCTGTTAGAGAACATATCATGGATGTTTTTGGTTAAATATTTTGACTGAGTAAAATATTACAGCCTTGTTTTGGTAAACTTTTCATTATTGCTCAGAATAGCCTATTGGCACATGCTTGGTTTCTTTTAGCAAATCTTACCTCTTTGGTTAATTTGAGTGGATCATTATACTTAGGGTAATTAAATTTGTACAGAATATCATTTATCACCCAGCAGTCCTGCACGCTCTGTCTCTCTGACCGTCTTAGTAACTTCTTGAAGGCAGTATTGACATTGAGCATCTCCCATGTAACAAAGTCAGTCTCAAAGAAATGCAGTGATCTCTTAGGCCCGGCACTTCCCTTATTTTTAAATAGACCTGCCATCTTTAAAATACCTGTGGACCTGACAAGAGCCATCTGAGGATAAGTTTAACAACAAAAGAACTCCTAAAAGGTACAGATGGGTTTGCCGTCATTAGTCTTTGGGGAATTGCTAATTATAAACCCATAATGACATCACTCATTTAAAATGGCTAAAATCAAAAGACCAACCCCGTCAGTATCGTGAGGGTGTGGAGGAATTGAAACTGGCACACACTGTTGATGGGCATGGAAATGGTACAGCCACTTTGGGAAACAGTTTGGCAGTTTGTTAAAAAGCGAAACATACACCTGCTGTATGACCTAGCCACTCTACAGCCAGATAGTTACCTAAAAGAAAGGAAAGCATAGGTGTGCACAGAGTCTGCACACAGATGTTTTGAGCAGCTGTGTTTGTAGTAGTCAAGAGCTGGAAGTAGCCCAAATGTCATCCACAGATGAGCGGATAAATTGTGGGATATACGTAAAATGTAGTACTTTCCAGCAATAAAAAGGAATGAACTGGTCCTGCACACAATAGTATGGATGAATCTCAAAATAATGATGCTGAATGAAAGAAGCCAGACCCCCACCCCCCATGCCAAAAAAGAGCATATACTGCATAATTCCATTTACTGTATTTTGTCATATATAATATGCACTTTTTCACCCAAATTTTTGAGGGAAAAATAAGGATGTGCATTATGCATGGGTATAATGATTACATACCTGCGTATGGTAATCCCATGTACAATGAGCACAAAAACGCGGGTGCGCATTATACGTGGCAAAACACGGTATATAATTTTGAAAGAAAATGCAAGCTAATTTTTAGTGGCCAGAAGCAGACTGGTGATGGCCTGGGGAGGTAGGGCAGAGGGAGAGAGAGGGATTACCAAGGGCACAAAAGGTTTTTGGGGTGAAGGAGATGTGCGCTTGAGAGCAGTGATGTTTTCCTGGGCATGTACACGTGTCAGACTTTTAGCCAACCTGCACACTTCAAATACATGCAATTTATTGTACATCATTTATACCTCACCGCAGCAGTTTTCAAAACGGATGAGCTCGGAAACGAGACCAAGTGCACGCAACTTCTTCTGGCAAGTGCACCTGTGCTGTGCTAGCCGCCAGGGCCGGCATGGATGGGCAGCGTCAGGGATGCCTCCCGACCCTCTGCCACCATCGCTCAGGCAGCTGCCTGTAACCCACACGTGTGAGGTCCTGGAGGTGATTTGTACATCCCTGCAGAAGCAGGAAGCATTTGCTCCATACACAAACCACTTCCAAGCCACCAGGGCCTGTTTGGTTTAATTAATTGTCTTTTTCGGTTCACTGAATGGCTCTGCAGAGACCTGGAGGAGGCACTGACTTCCCAGAAGCAGGCGGAGTGCTCCGCTCCCACCGGACCTAAAGACGAGTTGTCTTAGCCATCCAGGTCCCTGGACACGTTTTTAATAGTGGTGACAAAGGAGATGTTTAAGTGGTTTCAGTATGCCCCCTCTTTCCATGCAAGGACTGAGCTGTGAGTGGTTGACCTTGTTCTGGCTGGGCACGGTTACCGAGCAGTGCCAAATCCGCATCTCTGCCGGGTCTGGTGATGGATTTATTCCGTTATATGTTATGCTTCCTTTTCTGAGGGCTGTGAAGTTCCCATGTCTGTGCAATGCTTTAATAATTAATAATGGATTGTAATGCCCTTGCTAAAAATAAAATAAAAACCATCCAGAGGATGCGTGAAAGAATGAATGCCTGTTACGTATAGCATATGCTTCTGTTGGTGGAGGGAGTCTTTTCTGATTTCTCTTGCACCCAGATTGAGCCTGGAAAGAGTGGGAAAGAGTGACTTCCCATCCCTTTTTTTCTCTTCTGTGACAGTCCCCTTTGGCGTTCTGCACGTTCACTTTCTCACCAAGCAGAGGTTGCAGAGGTTGCGTACTGCATTGTTTTGTTTTGGGTTTTTTTGTGTCTCTTTTCTGCTGGCTCTTGGACCGTTTGGGGTACTTCTCCCTCCCTCTCCCCAGGGGCAAGCTGCCCCGTGTCCCTCCCAGCCCGTCACTCCCAGTCTCCATGCGGGGTCTGCCCCGGCCTCACTGGTCTCTCCTTCCACAGCTGTGGACATGGCTGGAGGAGCTGCAGAAGGAGCTGCTGGATGACGTGTACGCCGAGTCCGTGGAGGCCGTGCAGGACCTCATCAAGCGCTTTGGCCAGCAGCAGCAGACGACCCTACAAGTGACGGTCAACGTGATTAAGGAAGGGGAGGACCTCATCCAGCAGCTGAGGTGGGCCCGCCTCCCTGTCCCCCGGTCTAAGCAGAAACACTTTAAAATCCTGCCAGCGATTTCCCCTTCCCTTCACTTTTTGGAATAATTGGCTGTAATTCTTTGTCCATCTCCGTAGAGAACAAATAACATCTGTGAATATACTGGAGAGTAGCTTCTCTTTTTCTCTTTTCTTTTTTCCCCCCTTACAGTTTTTTCTCTACAGTTTTTCTTCTTACAGCATTGACTAATAAACCATTCCAGAATTCAGCTTTTATTCCAGATTAATATAAACTTCCTCTGACTGTGTCCTTCAGGCCCTGAGTGACCTGTCTCTCTAGAGTGTGGTGGGGTGTCCCCCTTCTCAAAGTTGTGGCCTGAGCAGGCCAATCAGGCTTTGGGGTGACACCTGTCCCTCATGGCAGGAAGATGGGCACATGCGAGGCTAGAAGCAAGTTCCTTTTGTTGGATTGCAGGGACTCTGTTACTCAGAGGCCAGTTTATTGAATCATTGGTGATAACCTCACGTGACGCTCACTTTGTGAAGAGTCGGGCAAAAGTTACTTGATAGAGGCTTAATTGATGCATGAAAGTTTAACCCCTCATCACCAATATAACTACTACGTATAGTAAACAGGTATGAGCTATTATCTCTCCTTAAGGAGACAACTGGCTAGAAATGGTACTCTGCTGAAATGACCTTACGTAATCATTAGATTTTTTTTTTTTTTTTTATAACAGCAACTGGGAGGAAACGGGGTGGGGGGGGAGGGATTCTTCGGTGCATCCTCAGGTCTGGAGCACTGCTCAGAGGAGGAAGCCGCTGTTGTTCTCTGGGAGGGGCGGCCCGTTCCATTTTCTGAGACAAGCAGTCCTGCTTCCTGCTGGCCTTCCTCCCCCGACACCACTCCCCCCACCAAGTCCCGAGCCTCCGGATCTGGTATCTGACACTGGGAGACCTGCTCCTCCAATTCCTGTTTGTCTCTTTGAAACCCCCATTTCCCTGCTCTGCTCCCTCGCAGAGACTCCGCCATCTCCAGCAACAAGACCCCGCACAACAGCTCCATCAGCCACATCGAGACGGTGCTGCAGCAGCTGGACGAGGCCCAGGCCCAGATGGAGGAGCTCTTCCAGGAGCGCAAGATCAAGCTCGAGCTCTTCCTGCAGCTGCGCATCTTTGAGAGGGATGCCATCGATGTGAGTGTCCCAACGCCACTCCCTTGACCACCAGGGGGCCTCCTGTATCCCCTCCTCTGTCCCCTGCTTGGCTCCCTTCCTCCGTCCTCTCCCTCGGTGTGAAGAGGAGAGAGGAGGGGACAGTGATCTGCCTCAGTGGCTTGCTGGGAGCTGCGGCCTCGGCCCCTCCACCAGAAGTAGAAACTGGTAGAGGCAGAGGGGACAGCAGGGCCCCCATTGCCCAGCAGGATGGAGCAGAGCCAGGTGGAAAGGCAGGTCGAAGGCAGAGCTGCTGACAACAAGCCCATCTCGCCACTTGGTTCATTGCACAGCAGCGCTTGGTTGTCCACAAAGCTGGGCACAAGCTCAAGGCAGGGACCCCGTCCCCTCCCCTCCCCTCTTTCCCTGGAGTTCCCCTCCCATCTTTCCCTGGGGTTCCCCTCCTCCCCTCTTCCCTCTTCTCTGTCCACACCTGGGAATGAGCTTAGCCTGTGTCAATACCATCTTAGGGAGTAGAAAACCCAGTTTTCTTCCCACAGAGGTGTTCTCAGATGGTCTGTAATTCTTACTTAAAACTTGACTTTTATACTTTATATGTGATTAGGAGAAAGAAGTTTAGGTTTCTTTTATTTTTCTTCAGCAAAAGGAATGTGGTTCATAATTCTGTGCCAGGGGAAGTCTTCTTTTTTTTGAACTTGGTGAAGTGCAAAGATGAAGGAAGTATAATCGGACGACACCGAGTCTGTGAAACATGATGAAAGGAACCAAAACTCACTTCAGCCCAGGAGGCCGGTTTCCTGGGGCCTGCCCCTCCGCGGCACAGAGCTGGTGGCAGAGACGGGCCGCCCGGGAGGCCCCTGTGACTGCCGGCCAGGGTGGATGGAGGGTACTCTCCCCACGTTTATTTCTTGTCCTGGGTTTGGTACAGTGCCGAGAGGGCACGTGGGCCCAGACCCTAAGTGCCACCAAAGACAGGGCATTATGGAGCCGGCCTTGGGTTGCCTGCCTGACGAGGTGGCCCTCTGCCTGAAGTGGGCCTGTCTGCAGTCCAGCTTGGAGTGACGTGTGCTGTGCGCCCTGCAAGGGCCAGGCCCGGCCCCATGCGGGTCTCCCGTGGGGCCTCTTGGTTCGGTGCTTGTCTGAACTTCCATTGATGTTTTCCTGAAAGAAAGGCCTTCTTGGCTGTGTTCTTCATCATCATCATCATCATCACCATCAACATCAGTTAATAACAAGAAAAGCATTAAAGACTGCACATGTCCCTGGTTTAAAAAATACCCCTCGAAGCCTTGACCTGAGACTGTCCCTCAGAGTCCACTTGGAGCTGTGTTGAGAAGCCTCATAGGGCCTCGACTGATGCGGCCCTGCCGGCCCAGGCCCAGCCCACAGCCTGGTGTGGGCAGGAGCCCTGGCCACCTGCTCTCCTCTCTGACCTCTGCTCTGGAGTGCTCTGGAGGAGTTGCTTTTGTAAATTTAGCTGTATATTAAATAGTTTCAGTTAAAGGAACACAATGCAACCAGAGGCATTATGTGAAGTTTTTCCTTCTAGGACATTTGGGTATTAGGAAAAATAAAATGGCCTCACTTGTACTAATGGTACTTGAAAGGGGGGAAATGAATTGTATTTCTACTTTCATTGAACCAGTGTTTCAAAATAGAGATCAGGAGCCCAAAGCATACATTTTGCCCACACTAAAGCCCCAGATTCCACGTGGCCTCTGCAAAGCCAGGGAGTCAGGCAGGGGGTGAGTGCTTTCCTGAGCTGAGGAAGCGAAACCTCAGTTCAGTCGCAGACCACCTAAAATAGAGTTTAAAAGCTTTGAACATGTCACATCCTTAGAATCTTTTTTTCCCTGAAGGACCTTGAAACGTGAAAATCTTAGCAGTTACGGTTTTGGCCAGGAAAATGCCTCATCTCACTACCTGTGGGAAGCCTGGAATTATGTTGTTGGTAGAAATTCATCTGTTACTTGGCCAGTTTTTTTCAACCCGCTATATCTCTGTATTTCAATTGGAGTAACAGTTCCGTCTCTCAAAAATGGATATTTTCTATGGCTTAGGATATTGCTATCTCAACTTCCAGATATGCCAAGTAAAATCTGCTCTATTGACTGACAAACATGGTAAATACTCTAGCAACTTGTGACAGGTTAGGTGTGGGAAATAGTCTTCATTCTGTGTGTGTTTAGGAAGAAAAACTTAGATGTCCAAAAAATTCAGGGATAGATTCTAAAAAAATTGTTTCCAAGGAATCACTATTCAAAAATGACTTTCACTCTCATGAACTTTGCTTTTGGCTCAGGTTTCTCTCTTGGCCTGTGTGGCTAATAGGCTATAATGCCAGCCTTCAGGCAGGACTTTGCCTGATGACCCTTCGATCGTGGCCTCTGCCAGGGTTTCTTTATGCTGAGGGAGTGTTTTCAAATCCTGCTGCTCTCAGCACATCGATCTGTGTTTACTGTCCGTTACTTGAGTGTTATCTGAGCCCATTGTGTCTCCACGAGGCATTATTCCCCTTAGGGTAGAGAGAGAGCTTAAAGTTATGGTAATGCTTTTTCCTTTTTAACAGTATTTCTCTCTGTGGCTTTTGGTTTCTGTCTAGTTTGGCATTATTTAAATTTATCAATTTATAATTAGTGCACTTCAACAAATTAATGTAATATACATACTGTGTACAGACCCCTGTAATAGAATAATAAATCGGGGAGATTTGTGCAGTAGAAATTGGGGGAAGCCTTGAGTTTTGTATTATTTCCCACCTGCTAGCTGGATTCTGTGTACACTCTCACATTCACAAATTTTCAGAGTCATTTGCTTACTGCTCATGTGGGTACAGGTAGTTGGGACCCATGGGAAATGTTACTCCATTGAAGTTTATTATAAAATATTCTCCCACAAGTTTTCTTCCTCCTTTTTGGATTTTATCATTTTACTTTTAATTTTTAAAAAAGTATGTTATGAAAGTCGTGAATCCATACAAAAGTAGTGAAGATAGTATAATACTGCTTGTCCCCCAAATTCAACACCCTTTTGCCCCCGTTGCCTCAGGCAGCCCTCCTTTTGTTGTTGTACTGTGGTGCTTCAGAGGAAGGCTCGGTCAGCACCTCCCTTCTCTCCTGAAGACTTTCCTAAAACATGAGGCCAGTCGCTGACATCACAGCAGTCCACCCAACACGTCCCCCAGCTGACAGGCGTCCTGATTGTCCTGTGACGCCAGCCTCTGTTCGGACTCCTGCACGTGCCTCCATTTCAGGGGCTCTGTGGGGTCTGCTCCTGCATTTGCTCCTCGGCCTTGTCGCCCAGAGTTGCCTCTCCATCCGCCCCTTTTACCCTCCACGCCATGACTCACTGAAGTAACGTCATTAGTGGTCAGGTCCCACATTCTGTATTTGCTCACTTGATTTCTTCCGGGTTGTTTAATTGTGTTTTTCTTTCCCTGGTATTTCCTGTGAACTTGGAAGTCAGATGTAAAGGCCCACAGGTGGTCCCTCACTGTCCCTCCTGCCAGAAGGCATGTCCCATCTGGTCTGACTCCTTCAGGGAGGCGCGGGTTGGCCTGCGGGGTCAGGAGGCGGCAGCCCGGCCCTTCCGTTGTTCGGTGCCCCGTCACCCTTTCTCAGATGGTTTACCCAGCTTACTAGAATTTCCAACAAAATTACAATAAAATGTTCTAATTTCTTTAGTTTTCTACATTGAATAGCTGGATTTATCCATAAAGGGGAACTTTCCTTCACCATTAAATACTTACATAATTTTCTTCTATAGTTAACAGTTTTTAGGGTAAAGATTAGTTCTCTGTGTATCTGTAATTGGAACCAAAGTTTTCTCACTTAATTTTTGGCTTTTAGTGTTTCTTCATCTTTTTTTTAAAAAGCATCATAAGGAAATAATAGATTTTAAAATGTATTTTATTCTTCTGTGGACTTTTTTTTTTTTTTTAGTGTCTAATTATCCCGTCTTTGGCTAATGGGATCCCCTTCAATTGGCATCTGTGTCCTTTTGAGACAGTCACATGAGTCTCTTTCTTCTTTACTTGGCACGGAAGCTGTTGCAACAGATATTTATTTTTTAAGTCTTGATCCTAAACAGAGATTTTCCTCCGTCAGATCATCTCAGACCTTGAGTCTTGGAACGATGAGCTTTCTCAGCAAATGAATGACTTTGACACCGAAGATCTCACAATAGCAGAACAGCGCCTGCAGCACCATGCAGACAAAGCTCTGACCATGAACAACTTGACCTTTGATGTCATCCACCAAGGGCAGGACCTTTTGCAGTATGTCAATGAAGTGCAGGCCTCAGGTAAGAAGTGCATTCTATTCTGTGTCAGCTGTGGGTTCTTCCTGTCCCCTGGGGTGTCATACAGTTTATTTCCGTGTGATGACTTTAAGGTTCAGCTAGCCCCTATGACACAGACGCTATAGATAACTGCTCTTTAAAAGAAAACATTTTGCTTTTCTTTCCCCCACATAGTATCAGCTCTAATATTACAGTCAGTGCACTTAACCCTTAATATTCTTAGAGGTTATTTTAAGTAGCATGAACTTTAATTTTATAAATGATCTATCTACTGTATCTCCCTGAACAAAATGTAAGTCCCAAGAAAATATTTTCACACTATTTTTCTTAATTTATATTTTACCAGCAGGTGGCACTATAAGCTCAAAATTGTAGAGAGAACACCAGTATTAGAAACTTGGCAACAACTTGCATAGTACACTACTCATTTTACGCAAATCTTATTATTAAATGCTTCCTGAAAAGTAAACTAGGTATACGGCAGATAACAAAAACAAGCCAAACTTCACTCTTTTGTAAAGGATGTCACATTTTCACAGTTATTGTACAAGTAGACTAACAGGAAATGGGTTTAGTGTGGTGGCTAGACATTTTTACATTTGGCTTTAACACATCAAATACATTTTCTGAGGCACATTTGTACTCTCCAAGGCAGAGTAAACACTCTACTGCTGGCTGTGCCATTGAACTTGGCCTTCAGAGTAATGGCCTGGTCCCCGCTGGGCACATGATTCACACAAGTAGACCAGCGTTCACCCCTTAAGAACAAATTGAAATGGTAGTTGAATTCTAGGGTCTCCATCTGGTGTCTGCAGGTGTGGAGCTGCTTTGTGATAGAGATGTAGACATGGCCACTCGGGTCCAGGACTTGTTGGAGTTTCTTCATGAAAAGCAGCAAGAGCTGGACTTGGCAGCAGAGCAGCATCGGAAGCACCTGGAGCAGTGTGTGCAGCTTCGCCACCTACAGGCGGAAGTTAAACAGGTAAACAAAGTGTGGGATGGAGATCCAGTTGGCATGGACTTCATGGAGGATCTGGTAATTCGGACGTGGAAGCCTAGGGAAAGGTTGTCCCTGATCAGAACACAGCTGCCCTGATACTTATCTAACACTCCTGCCCGAACGCATACAGCTGTGTGTTCGCACTGCAGTGGGAAGGGCTTCACTGCCCAGCAGGCCCTTGGGAGGAACATCCATTTAGGTTGTTTTGTTAGTGCTGCTCTCTGGCTTGAAACCCTGTACACTTTGCTTCCTGGTCCAAATGACGATGTGATTTTTCTGCCAAATACACCAGTATGAATCTGGACTGGATCATAAGCTGTGTATGGCTAGAATTTTCTTGTGTTGTCTATATGGCCACATCCTAGATAGCAATGCAAAATAAAGTAGAACATTTGGAAGAAGTTGCTTTTGGCTCAGTGCCAGGGGGATTCCATGAGTATGTATATTCAGCATGGATGTGATATTTTATCTCATGAGCAGCGGAACCACTGGATGCTGGCTTGATACAGGGACAGCGTGGCTTTATGGTAGATGTGCAGAAAAGCACGTTAGTTCGATTGGCGGGAACCGAAGGTGCCTCCAGACCATGAGCACAGTGGGGTGCGTAAGTGGGCAGCACTCACATTAAAGCAGATGTATTATTAAGTGGAAGTCTTTAAAAGGGTACCCATTGGTCTCCCTCGCATGTAATGGGATGGATGGAGTATGTGGCCTGCCTTTTAAAGAACAGTTAATAAAGTGTTCCTTCTTGCCAAAAAAATAATAATTCAGCTAAGAAATAAAGGATTAGGATGACATTCATTAGAAATTGCATTTGCCTAATGAGTAACAGAGTCCAAAAATAGTGGCTCAGAAATGATTTTCGTCACGTACCGAGTCGGAAGGTGGTAGGATTGCTCGTGTCCGCCTGGTGGCCCCGTGATGTGTTGGGCTGCAAGCGTGATGATAGGTGGCCTTTTCCTCCTGGTCGCCAAATGGCTGCTGTAGCCCTAACCATCACCTCTACAGTCCAGACATCAGGAGGGGGAATGCATAACAAGAAAGAGGTGATACGTGTACCAGAAAAACATTTTCACAAAATTCCCCAGAGGTGACTGCTTTGATCTCAGTGGCTGGAACTACTACTGTGTCATACCTGTAACCAAGCTGCAATAGGGGCCAAGAAGTGGTTTTGTCTTAAGCTATCTCCAAAAGGTGGGGTTTTCTGAGTAAAGGAGACAAGGAAAATAGGTATTCGGTAGGTAATGAGTGGTCTCTGCCTCAGAAAGCTACCGAGAAGGACCTTCCACAGCCTCTGTGGCTTCTGCAGTCAGAGCTTATGTCTCTTTGTGTATGAAGTTGAGCATCTTTTCATGTGACCAAGTGTTACAGTACAGTTTCATTCATATTTGGTTGTGCCATTTAATGCTGATATTAAATTGGAAATTTTGTTACTGATATGAAATGGTTCCTTTATCAAGCAGTTCGCCAATTTTGCATTTTCATTAGCACTGAAAGGAGTGAAAAACACCTCTTTTTATTATCAGAGAATTCTTCCTGGTGGTAGGGTTTCTAACGCGTGGGCCTAAATCTCTTTTGACTTGTGGACTAATAACCATCCTCTGGACCCTTTACCTTTTCAGCTTCCATTTGCAACTAAAAATAACAATTCATTTAAAAGTGCAGCCCCTAGGACCACACACTGCTGCAGGCCATCAGGCTGGCGACAGCAAGGTCCTAAGGAAGCCAGCACTGTGTAGCTGATGTGAGCAGCTCGGCCGCCCTGCTGGGCGGACTGCGTCAGCGCCGGTCCCTGGGCTGCCTGGGCAGGGCCTCTATTTGGAACACCCTGTGTGACGTTGCAGGTGCTGGGCTGGATCCGCAACGGAGAGTCGATGCTGAACGCGGGGCTCATCACGGCCAGCTCGCTGCAGGAGGCGGAGCAGCTGCAGCGGGAGCACGAGCAGTTCCAGCACGCCATCGAGGTAGGGAGGAGGCGCGGCCCCCTGCACTGGCTCCCTCCAGCCTGAAGGCCAGCCCATTAAATCCCATCCCAGGGCACTGGCCCTGCCGCCGAAACAGGGCCGGCAGGACCCCAAACGGCAGTACTACATACTGACGGTTTATTCCAGGGGAAGGCCACCGCCTGACGAGGGCAGTGAGGCGACACTGAGCCAGCCAGGATAGCCCCACAGCGAGGGTCCCTGAGGCCAGCTGAGAGGGCCTGGCAGGAGGCCCCTCCCTGGGGCAGGAACCTGGCACTGGGGAGCCCAAGTGGGCGTCTCGGCTGAGGTTGTTAATATTTTGCTGGCCTCATAGGCACATTCCTGCTATGTCAGCAGCCCTAGCACACACAGGGTGCTCGGGTGGCTCCCCAAGACCAGGTACAGATCACGCTTCACTGGTATGAAAAGACAGCTCCTCCGACCCTGGTTAAAAGCGTTCCTCCCTGAGCGTTTCCTGCCACGAGAGGGCCAGTGCCACGTTGTGCTTGAGCAGAATGGCTCAGGCCCACTTCGGCCTACTCAGATTCACTCTCACAGCAGGTAGATAACTATTTCCAGGTTTTGGGGGGGGGCAGTAATAATTATGACAGGTGGTCTGAAGGTAAAGTTAAGGGCAAAGGAGCAGTAGGTTACTGAAAACTTGTTTCCGTCACCCTTTATGTATACAGGGCCCCGCAGAAGGAAGGCCTGCCCAAGGGTGGTTGGTAGGATAATAATATGGGTGTAATAATTTGTAATTTTAATTTGAACATGTCACCCAAGATGTCATATGGTGTGCTTGAGTGTGGTATTTTTATGTGACAGAATTACATGCTTATGATTTTGTAATAAAAAAGAGGTGTTATTTGTGCCAGACCCTGTATATTGTCAGCCAGAGAAGGAAGCCACAGGGATTATCATTAATTTGTTCCATAGTTTTTAACTAATCAGTGCCACAGACACACATCGACACTTCTTGCAGCCCTGACTCCAGGAATCTTTTGAAATTTTACACTGTACCAAGTGATTACTAGTAATTAAGTTGTCAATGCACATCCCAGATCCGGTGTTGGGACTATATTGTATACAGTTTTTATAGAAACATTAGCCCCGTTTCAGATGAAATACAAAATTTTGCTCCTTTTAAAAGAAGAGTCTGTGTCCATAGAGCCCCACCCCCGGCCTGCCCAGCAGTCTGTTTCTTCATGAGAGAACCCGACCTCTCAGCGCCCCCCTAACTCTCCTAGTGCGGCTGTGAGAGCAGGAGGGCTTCCTGGCTTGTCATGCTATTTTGATAAATTCATTATGGCAGGGATCTCCAGAAAAAAAACAGTTCATTCTTAACTTTTCATTAAGATTTTCTTTTAAAAAAAAAAAATCAATAGTTCTTGAAAACTTTTTATACTAGTCCAAAGTTGAAGTTGAAAATGAAAATAAAAGTAGTCACTTTGGCCACCTTTCTACCCATTTGTTCATTTGCCTGTGGCTGCTATTATAAGAAGGATCAATGGGAATAACGAACTTGGAGCATTTGAACAGCTCCTCCAGAGTATTGGCTGTGAGAGGCCGCTCCTGCTATCTCAAGGCCAGCGCCCCACCGCTGCGGCCTATTCAGGAAAATCTTCATCCGTCATTAGGTCATTTAAACAGAAACACAGTTGTTGCCAGGCGTGAGAACTTTTTTTTTTTTTTAACTTAACTCTCTGCTGTGTTTGTAGAAGTGTCCAAATGCGTGTTAACTGAGGTTGCTTCTATAAAAGCTTCTGTGAAACCTGCCCAGTTCCTTTCCAGTAAACCCTGTTACATGAGGTCCCCCGCTTTTCCGCTGTCTTTCCATAGAAAACGCATCAGAGTGCGCTGCAGGTGCAGCAGAAGGCCGAAGCCATGCTGCAGGCCAATCACTACGACATGGACATGATCAGGGACTGTGCTGAGAAGGTGGCCTCTCACTGGCAGCAGCTCATGCTCAAGATGGAAGACCGCCTCAAGCTCGTGAACGCCTCCGTCGCCTTCTACAAAACTTCGGAGCAGGTAGGGAGCGGGGTCCTAGCCTGGGACCTCCCAACTGACATTTTGTTTTTAGCTTAATGTGCCTGGACAGCTCAATCATTAACTCCTCAGTCATCATGGAGCCAGCCAACCGCAAGTCCAGCTGAGAAAAGAAGTGTTCTTTGAAGATAGTTTTTGCTTAGCTTACGTACCACAGCACAAGAAGGTGCCCCTTTTCCTCTCATTTAAGTATATGGCCTGAAAGACAGATTTCTGTTTTCAGGTTTTTGGGGGGTGCATTTTGGCTCAGCTCTTATTTCATCCTTGTTCTGAAAGGCCTGCATTTGTCCTCATGAAAGATGGAGCCCCGGTTCCTTCTGGTGGTTTTGGTGCTTGGGCCAGCGCTTTCATGCCCAAAGCCTGACTGAAAATGCTCCCCAAAGATGCAGATCCGTGTCCTTTGGTGCCCGTGGCCCCTCTGAGCCTGGACCTCGCTTCTGTCCACAGGTCTGCAGTGTCCTGGAGAGCCTGGAGCAGGAGTACAAGAGAGAGGAGGACTGGTGCGGCGGGGCCGACAAACTGGGCCCCAATTCCGAGACGGATCACGTCACTCCCATGATCAGCAAACACCTTGAACAAAAGGAAGCGTTCCTGAAGGTACGAGCGGCCTCCTGGGGGGCTGATGCCTCCCCGAGCGGTGTACGCAGATCCAGGAGGGGTCACCTGAAGGTGGTACTGAGCATTGGCCTGTCAGAGAGCCGTCGGTACCCCGGCAGGCCAGGCGCATGTGTCCGTTGTCACTCTCCAAGGGAGGTCCCCACACATCTCGCAGTTCTCCCCGTGTGGAGAGTGGTCAGGGCAGCATCGTGTGAGCAATGGGTTAGTTGATCCGAGAAATGTCTTAAAAATGTTTTTGTTATTTATGTTGTCTTTCTAGTGTTCACAGAGAAAGCGAGAAATCTGTGTGAATTAAAAACAGGTGAAAGTCATAATACCAAAGGATTCTGGACAGAGAGAGAGAGAGAGAGAGAGAGAGCGCGCGAGCGCGCGCGCGCGCGCTTGATTGATTGATTTGGTGAATCAAAGATGCCTATAGCTTAAAATAATCTTCCTTTGGAAATTCACCCTTTCTAGGAACAAAGACTGTATCTCAGAAGATACATGAGCCCAGTGTAGACACAAAGCAGGACCACCTCTTGTGGATTATAGGATCAGTTTGTAATACTTAACTCAGGAAATGTTTCCTGCAGGAGAAATTTAATTCAGTTTGGGCCAAGCTCTAAGTTTTAACTCTGAGAAGCTTTAAATAAGGACTTTTTCAAGCCTTGGCGGGGAGCGGGGTGGGAGGGGGGAGCATGTGCGTGTGCATGCGTGCGTGTGTGTGCGTGCGCGCGTGTGTGTGCGTTACTTTTCATACCTAAGTCGTTGATGTGCTTTGAAACATTGAAACTTTTAAACAGTGGCCAAAGTGTTTTTAGTAGCATTGACATTGAATGTTTCCATGCTTCATTCTTTTACTCTTTGGAACAAATTTTCTGAGGATCTTGTTGTCACTCAGACTTGTTGAAAATAGGTGTGGTGTTTACTTTTTCATTGTTGCTTTAAAGGTTTACTTTTTCTCATTGCTTCAGCATTCTGACCTTTCTGACCCCATTTCCTGTTATATCTAACAATTTCTGTTCCATTTCTGAAGGTGATGGTTCTTCCTGATAGAGAAAGCTATTGTTTAGTCTGAGAGAGTAAATGGTAACTCTTTGAAAATTCTTATCTGGTATGCTGGGTTGTGCTTCCACCACCGTGATTTTCTATTGAAGCAAATCAGGGTGGGAAAACAGTAGTAGCTTCCCCAGACTCCCTAATTGTAACTATTTGAAGCAGGACCTGGAGGCACCACCATGCTTGTTGCTATTTTAAGTTTATGAAATGCCTACCACTGTTAGGTGTTTTAAGTTGGAATCGTAATTTGCCCCTCTCTCTCTGGACTCCACTTAGTGTAAAACAAAATTGAATGCTACTTGGTTAATATGATGAAGAAAGGTATTTTGGTAAAATTATAAAACAAAAATAATCACAGGCCTGTTTGGATTCCTTTGTTCACTAGAATTCTCTAGTGGTTGTCTGTCGGATGTCTTTAAAGGTTTTATTGTGACAGTTTAAAGATGCATAGAAAAGTGGAGAGAATAGAGAATGACCCCTATGCACCTCACTTAACTTCAGCAATGATCAACATAGGGGCGTGTGCCTACCTTCACGGGCTGTTTTAAATTCTAGACATTACATCATTTTACTTGCACATAACTTTGGTAAGTATCTAAACATTAAATTATACTTTTCTAAAACAGCCACAATACCATTTTCAAATCTTAAAAATTAATAATAACTTATTTCATGTAAAATCAAAGTATTCAAATTTTCGTGATTGTCTCACAAATGTCTTTTTATGCATGGTTTTAATCAAGAGCCAAACAACGTCCAAACGTTGATTTGATTAGTATGCCTCTTAAGTTTCTCTTAATCTACCATATTTTGCTGTGTATAATGTGCACTTTCTGGCCCAAATTTTTTAGGGAAAAATAAAGATGTGTATTATACATGGCTATAATGATTATTTACCATGGACATAATGGGTATAGAAACCCTGTGTTTGATGCACACAAAAACGTGGTTGCACATTATCTATGGCAAAATATCGTAAATACCACCCTTTCTTTCATTACCATTTATTAATTGAAGAAGTAAGTTACTCATACTATGGTGTTTCCCACTCTCCAGATTTTGGTAATAGCACCAACCTGGGTTCTCTGAGTTTCTGTTATTTAGGTTGAAAGCCTTGATTGGCTTCGGATGCGAGTGAGTGTGTGCGTGCGTATGTGCAATTAGCGCCCCCGATGCATGGTGCTTGCACTTTCCATGTGTCACATGAGGAGGCACACAAGTCCCATTTCTCTGTTGGCTGCACTGTGAGGGTTTATCAGTGCTTCGGACAGGGCGAGGCCAGTTCATCTGTTACACTGTTCCCCGCCTGCCTTGCACCTCATGGGTTTAGTAGCCAGTGGTAATGTTGTTCACTGGGAGTTGCAGAATGCTGATATTCTGCCATTTGTTCCTCCTCGATTGGCTAGAATTATTATCCCCTCAGCTGTTTGCTTCATCTAAAATAGAGTGTATGCAGAAAAAGCACGGTAAATGCTTCACTCTTTCCCTTAGCTTACCATTTACAGAATAATGAGCCGTTGCTCTAGCAACTTCTATATACATGATTTAGGGTTTTTTTGTAAACTGTCGTCATGGATTTTAATGTATTTGATACATTTCAATCGACTGCAGTCATTTAAATAGTCAAGTTGTCCCCTTAGCGGGGAGCTCCTTCAAGTCAAGCTGGTGCAGAGTCCATTTGACGTGACCTCAGCAGTTATCACAGCTTCCTCGATGTTTGGTATGACAGCTTATTTTAGGCTCAACAGTAGAGATGCAGGGTATATTTTTCTCTTCATTAAAAAAAAAAAAATGTGTTCTAGCTCTGTCTATGGGAAAGGCCTAGAAAGGGCGACCAGCCTAACAACAGTGCTCACCCCTGGTGCCCAGACTATGGCCTCGCAGTGCCATTTACCGCGAGGAGGAGGCAGGGTTCTTTGAGGAAAAGATTAATTCCAGATCTGGGACAAGAAATGTGCAAAGTATTTCCAGTTCACATGTAATCAATGTGTTTTTTTCCTTCTTCCATTTCACATTTACGTTCTTTTTCTCTTACTAACTCCTGTTTTTTAATACATTGATGAAATTACTTGCTTGGTTCTGTGGGGGCTAAAACATAGTAATACTTTTCCTCCCATCTTCTAAATTCTTCTGGCTGGGCCAATAGTCAAATTAACAGAGACAGATTACACGGGAGAAAATCAAAGTTTAATACATGTACATGGGGAATTCACATCGACACGATAAATCCATGAAAATTCCAAAGACTATGAGGCAACATTGAGTGTACTCACTTAAGACATTTTGGACAAAGGAGATAAGGGTGAGGAAATGGAATATTAGATTTCAGAGATGAGAATGGGCTATTTATAGGTAGTTGAGGAAGAGTGGAACACGTGGCAGGAAAATCCTTGCTAGGTGACTCAGAAACAATGAGACATGCAGGGTATTTACTTATTTATTATTTATTCTATTACAGTTGTCCCAGTTTTTTCCCCCTTTCACCCCCTTCCACCCTGCCCACCCCTCTCGCCCCGAGTCAGTCCCCTCTCCCTTGTCCACGTCCATGAGTCATTCATACGTGTCTTTGGACTAATCCCTTCCCCTTCCTTCCACCATTCCCTCCTCCCTCCTACCCTCCTATGGCTGTCAGTGTGTTGCTTGTTTCCATGTCTCTGGTTCAGGTTGGGTGTTTAGCTAATAGGCTCCTACCTGAAGCCCTCTATTAACCATACTTAGTTCAAATTAGGTGAAGAAAACATCCTAAGATTTTCTTCCTGAAGCAGGTTTCTCTGTCTGACTCTCTTGGGCAGGAAAGGGGGAGGGTCAAAGGTTCTTTCTGAGTCTTTTGTTTCTTAATGATCCGTTTAAAATCAGTATCCCTAAAAAGCAGCTTCAGGGTGGTAGAGTTTTAGTCCCTTCAGTTTATAAACATGTAATATTAGTTATCTATTACTGGAATAACACTGCATAACAGCCCGCCCCAAAATCTGAGGGCTTGAACCGAGGGTTGGCACACTGAGGCCTGAGAGCAAATCCCTCCCCGTCACGCATCTGCGGGTTGTCCCCTCAGCGATCAGGCTGAGAAGTGGCAACAGAGACATCGACGCTAGACTCCAGAAGCCGAAAGTATTGTTCTGCCTGCCCTTTACAGAAATCCAGGCACAGGCCAGCCAGGTCCCCTGGCTCAGGGTTTCTCACAGGCTGTGACTGAGGTGTTGGCCATGGACACGGCCCCCTCAAGGCTGGCCTGGGGGCCGACAGCTGCTCTCACCCCTGCCCCCGGGCCCCTCCTTGGGGACGCTTATAACAGAGCGGCTGGCTTCATCAGAGCAAGGACTCTAAGACATACATATTTTTAATTGAAATATAATTTAAACTACGTATTCTCCAAACCACAGCTGGCCAGGCGAACACTTTCAGTAAAGACATGTTAGAGCCCACTAATGTCCACAAAGCCTCAAAATCCATGTTCGTTCAGGGCAGGTTAACAACATGTCGCTCTCCATTGTTCTTAGGCTTGCACACTTGCGAGAAGGAACGCAGATGTCTTCCTCAAGTACCTGCACAGGAATAGTGTGAACATGCCGGGGATGGTGACACATATCAAAGCCCCTGAACAACAAGTGAAAAGTGAGTATAGTCAGGGCCCAGCCGGCTGGCAAGCAGGGGGAGGGGCTGGGCAGGATGCGCTTGGCAAGCTTGGTCCCAGGCACTTCATTTTAAATGTTTGTTTCATATTATTAAAGTTCTTACTGATTATCTTAGTTTAATAATAGAATATTAAATACAGGGTCTGGCACAAGTAATGCCCATTTTTTATTACAAAACCTTTACACAATCATAAGCATGTAATTCTATAACATACAATAGCACACTCAAGCATACCGTATGACATTTTTAGTGCAATGTTCAAATTAAAACTATAAACTATTATACCCATATTATTACCCTACCAACCACACTCAAGCAGGCCGTATTTCTGCCGGATACTGTATATAGACTCAATTTATTGAATAAAGTAGAAGAATATAAACAGGGAGAAGAAACATAGTTTGGGATGATATGTATTGGCATTGATTGTTAAAGTAAGTAAAATATTATAAATTGGGAACAAATGAAAACCAGCGTTATCTACAAGCAAAATATTTTATGAAGTTTAAATCATGAAATTATATACCAATATCATTTCTGTAAAGTGTTAATTTTATTTATATAAGCATTATTAAGACAAATTGCAAAATGGTATTATAGTTTGATATCGTTTGAGTATGAAATCTATAAAACCATGTTCTTAATATATAACATGTATATGTAAATACCTATATGTATATGTAAATACATAGAAAAAGATCTGGGAAAATTTATACTAAATGATAAATAGGATTGATGTGGATGGAAATGAAGAAGACTTAAATTTTTACTTTGTAAAATTCTGATTATTTTACAAAGATGATGCAACCGGATGTTACATAATTTTAAACTTAAATGTAATCACAGTTTTTGTAAATTCAATTGCAATGACAGGGAAGTGGATCCTGAGAAAATGATGAGAGATCTTTAAAATAGCCTTAAGGTTAAGGCACCGCTCTGTGCGCCTTAACTGCACACATGCCCCCTGCCCGCCCGTGGGCCTAGGGTGCAGTCCGGAGGCAGAGGGGGCTGAGGCCACACAGCCTGCGCTCTGGTGGCCGAGTTCCGTCAGGGAAGAATTGCAGTAACCACTTAACTACTGATTCACCCCCCACTTCTTTAAAAGAACATGATTGGCAAAAAAACTTTGTACATTGCATTCTATTCCCTGTTGATCTCATTCATCTGTTGTCAGAGAATGATTTTCTCTCACATTGGTACAATTAATTGTAAGCTCTAAAGATGAGATTGATATATTTATTAGTTGGTGTCCTTTTCCCTTGGGAAAAATGAGTGACTAACAGGAGCATTCATTTTCAGCAGAAATGAATCTTCATCATCAACAAGTTATGTGTATTAGTAATCAGTTTCCTTGACTCATTTCATGGGAAAGTCATTTCCTTTTTCCCATCTCTCTGTATTGCTTTTGGTTTGTGGCCATACTCTGCTCTGATTGAAGATATTAGGAGGCTTCCTAGGTTGTACCAGTTTGATAGGTACATGTATGTGTGAGAGGGATATATGTTCATGGACTCACTCATCAGATAATTATTATGCATTTGCTAGTGTTTCTCATCATGCTGCATGCTGAGGGTAGTTAAAAAAGAAATATTCTCTTTCTCTCACCATAGACTTGGGGACAAAAGGTTTATGGGTGGGTCAGTGCGGTAGATTCATGCAAAGATAACAGTGCCAGAAGAGGCAGTGTGTCTCTCCCCGACCCCCTGCCCCAGACGACAGGCCAGGAAGGGTCGGCCCACGCGATCAGAGGGCCCCTCAGGAGCTTGAGGAAGCCCCAGGGTGCCCCTCTGCTGGGCGTCTTCCTTGCCCCAAATCAGCTCTGCCCTAGGCAGAGACTGTGGCAGTCAGAGACCAGAAAAGACCCAGTGGTTTATGTTAATTTTCACATGTGATGTTTTCATTTAAGAGGTAGTGCAATTTTTTGACAGGCTTCAGATTTCAAAGTCTTAATCTGGTTTAGGAAACTAGTTCACTTTTTCAGCAGAGTGAGGAGGACCTGCTGAAGGACCACTGAGCGGGTGGGCAAATGCGGCTCGCAGACTCTCATTTCACACAAAGCACTGAGCCTGCTGAGAACTCAGTAAACATTTCTGGGAAACTTGGTGTTTTTAAGGTTTTCCAATGCAGTGGAGTTATAGTCTCCTTACCATTTATTTGACTTGCAGTTTCAATCTTGGGGATTTTCTTCTGAAGTTTTGTTTTTTTTAATGTTCTATTACAGTTGTTCCAAATTTCCCCTGCTGCTCTCCCGTGCCCTGTTGTCCGTGTCCGTGGGTCATTTACACTTGTTCTGTAACCAGGCCCTTATCCCCCTCCACGCTGCCTGTCTGGTCTCTGTCAGTCCGTTGCTTGTTTCCATGCCTCTGGTCCTGTTTTGTTCGTTCGTTTTGTTCATCAGGTTCCTCTTATAGGTGAGATCATTCTTTTGGAGTTTTTTTTATCTGTTTATTTTATAAACTTCCGGAGTAAAACAGATTTACCATAAAAAGTTTGAAAAGTGACAAATGTATATAAATTACCTAATCCCTTTGCTGGTGATAACCACTGTTGAGACTTTTTTGCACATCTTGTCTGAGCACATAAATCTAAATATGCAGAGAAACCTAAACATAGGTAGATTCCTCTCACCCTGCTGCCTTTTTTTTTAATCAAAATGGGACTATATTTCCCCCTTTGTTTCAGTCGCTTAGTATATTGTAGTCATCTTTTTATATCAGATTTAAAGGTCTCTATTCTCTTGAATGTCCGGTGTAGTGATTTTGTAACTGACTCAACCCTAATCCGTGGGCTCACACATTGCTGTGCCTCAGTGTTCGCGCACCCGAGCCCAAATCAATTCGACACCTTGTGTGAGCGCCATGCACCTGGGAACTAATTCCTGGCTCAAGGGTATGAGCACCTCAGTGTCCTCCCCTGTTGCCTATCCACTGTGCTCTGTTTTCCTCCCTCAGCAAGAAGACAGGGTCCTGAGTGTCTCCCCCACGCCTTCTAGTGCTGATGATGGCACAGTGCTTGCCAGGAAAATGGCAAGATGGTCTTCTTGTTTGAGCGAGCTTAAACTTGTGTTCTGTGTCTAGTGGCCATATTTTAAAAATCGTAAGCTTCATGATTATATGCTCTGCTCATTTTCCTACAGATTGTTCCTCTTTTTCTTTGACTATTAAGTAAAATAGATCAGTATCTTATATTTTCCCAATATTTTTTCCTGTTTTTTTTTTTTAGTTGGTGTAGTATTTTTATGGCAGTTATTGTTTGGTTATGACATTCTTAGTTTTTTATGTAATCAGAGTTTTTTTTGGCCTTTGCCTACTTCATCTTTTTTAAACTTTTGTTTTTTTCTAGTCCTTCACCATTTTGACATACATCCTGTAACATAATCAGAATTCCTTCTATAGGAAGGTTTTAATGGTCTCTAACAAAGTATCTAACAGTGATATTGTCAGATTGCCCAGCAGGGGAGGCAGTAGCATGGCCCACTGATCCCGCTACCCTGAGGTCTTAGGGGCCGACCTTAACCTTACAGCGATCTCGTCCATCAGATAATAAATTGGGGTAAGAGACTAAAGAGAGGTCTGGTTGACATGCTCGTTGAGAACCCGAGACAAGCAAGCAGTGTGGCTCTGTGTGATGTTCTGTCTTGCAATGGCATTTGCATTAAAAAGTCAAAGTCTAAGTGAATGGGGTTCTGCAGGTGTTTTCATTGATTGCAAACACCAACGTGCACCTTTCTCTTTATTCTCTCAGATATCTTGAATGAGCTCTTCCAGCGGGAGAACAGGGTATTGCATTACTGGACCATGAGAAAGAGGCGGCTGGACCAGTGCCAGCAGTACGTGGTCTTCGAGCGAAGTGCCAAGCAGGTCAGTCATCACCCTGGGCTGCGCGGTGCCCTCCACCCCTGTTCTTAGACCCCCACGTCAGCAGTGTCAGAACCACCTTCTGATGATTCAAACAGGTCATGCCTTGTAGTTAACCGTTTGGTGTTAAAAAAACAAAACAAACAAACAAAAAAAAACCCCACAACCTCATGACCCTTAGCAAGTGTGTCGCTCAGCTTGTCCCTACTGTCGTGACCTCATATTTAAAACAGCAAAGTACGAGTTACACATGATGACAATTTAGAAATCACTGTGGAATATAGGAGTTGTACTTGTGTAATTACTGTGGTGGGTGGTTTTCTTATATTGCTGTATGTATGTATGTGTTCAAGATAAAATGTTCGTGCATTTGGCTAATCCCCCTTTTCAGTATCCCCCTTTCTAAAATCATTTTGGGATAGAGTGTTTCTGCCCGAATGGAAGTCACGGAAGGTCGTTTTAGGGGAAAGCCCTTCAGACCCCTAGCTTTAACACTGAGATCCCTGTCACTCCTTGTTGGCCTGTCTGGCAGCCTAAGAGTCTCTGGAGCCGTCTGACATGCCCCATGTCAAGGAGCCCAGAGTCACTGCGGTAACCACGTCAGACCTGGACCGTCCTCTGAATCCAGCTGTCTGCCTACTGCGTGCCTGTCACAGAGCAGGCGTTTAGTGAAATCTTTTAGCCTAAGAAGATTACCATCTTCCTTACATGCGTTTCCCACTTAGGGAGCCTATTTCGTTGCTTGTGGGTGAATGTTAGTCTCGCAGTGCGTGGCCTAGCTCCCCACAGGTGGACGGCTGGAGTTCATCGTGCCCAGAATCTGGCGCCTGCCTCGGCCTTTTTCTCGTCTCGGCTGACTTTACCAGGTGTACTTGTTCATGTTCCCAGCAGAGGTGGAAAGCAGTAGTATTCTTAATGTTTAAATTACGTTTTCTTAACATTTTATTTAAAAACAGTTCAGCCATGTTTTAGATTTAGGGCAGCCTGATTTTGTTTCTAACGAGAGATTGTTTCATAATTCTCTCTCACATGTCTTTATTATTTCTCTGTTGAAAGACAAAGAATCATTCAGCTGCACAGAACAAACTTGTAAATAACTCCTTTGACAGAGATAATGTGTTGTTGCTTTTTCCTAAAGTCAGTTCGTTTGCCAAATATAAAACCGTTAAGTTGAGGCCATGACCGAGAATGACCCACTGGCCACGCAGACCTGTTGGGTTCTGCTCTATGCCTTCATCACACTTCCTGGGTCAGCATCATTTGCTTATGATAGACCCGTCTTTGAGGCCTGTGGCTGGTGCACCTCTCAGGGTGGCACCCTGAGGTCCACGGGATGCAGCCTCCCTGGCGGTGAGAGGGGACTTTCAGCCCTGGCTCTGCCCCTGGGAGAGTCCTGCCCTCTGCTCTCTAAACCTCCGCTGCCCCTGTTCCTTCCCGCCGCCTCTGGATGCTGACTTTCTCCAGGGCTCAGCTGAGGCTCGTTCTTGTTTCTCTTTCCTCTCTTATCTTTTCTGCTGCTGTCTTGCAGCCCGGGCCTCCATTTGTGGTGTCCAGACTGATAATCCCGGCCACTTTCTTGGCATGGTGCCACTTTGGCATCACTAAAGGCAGAAGGGGACTGAAGAGTCCCGTCCCCTGTCCCCTCACCTTCCAGGGTGTGTGGATCCCGATTCCTGCCTCCCCTGTGGCCCAACCTGCACCCCTTCATCGGTCCCCTAGGTGCGCGCCTCCCGTGAGTGTCAGATCTGCCCGACCCTCTCCCATCCAGAGCCATCGTGCCAGCTGAACGCAGCTGTGTCCTGGCTAAACCTCTGAACCAGTTTGCTAACTGCTGTGATTCTTTCCACACTCTCCAATCCCTTTCCACGCAGCAACCCCCTGCCCTCCACAGCCTCACCTCCAGCCTTTCCCTGCGGTGGACCCAGCTCCCTCTGCTCGGGGCCGTGGGGTGCACTGCCCACCAGTACTCTACCCCACTCTGAACATCTCTCCATCCCTCCTGAGCCCAGCCCCTCTCAGCCTGCAGATCTCAGCTTCAATAGCGCCTCCGCTGACCGCTCCTCTAAGGTCTCCCCCCCTCTCATCTGTCTTTTGTGTATCTTTCTTCATCTCTCCCCCCTCCCAGTCTACAGGGCAGGGCCTAAGCTTTTCATTCCCTCCTGCCTCACCCAGCACCTGACTTGATAGTAGGCACTTGGGTACCATGGGCTATGTGAACAGAGAAACCAAGGACCTTTGAATAAATGAACAAATGGCTTTCTGCCTTGAATCAGAGTAAGTGTTGATGTTGTTTCCAAGACGGGATAGGCACCCTCAGGCATAACAAAAGTAAATTCCCAGCCAGTAACCTACGTGGTAAGTAATCTGGGTCTTGGGTTTCTTTTTGTTTTGTTTTTTTCTCCTAAAATCCTATACACGCCGTGAAATACCCAACAGAGACCGTAACGTTTCTGTTCCAATACCGGCAAACGACAGTGGATAACTGAGATTTAAAGGGCAGATATTAAAGCTTCTACTTTCTCATGCTGCTCTTCCATATATAGCTAAGGATGTGTGTGTTTAAATAAATCTGGTTTCACATCAGCTGTATGAAAGTGGAAAGAAAACAAATGGCTTTCCACTGAAAACCATGGAGGAATAGGTTCGTTAGAACGGTGTCGTTCTGTTGCAGTCGGAACTGCGCTGGCCCCTCTCTCCAGGCGTGGTCATCGCTTCCCTGCACCGGGGAGGGTTGGCTGCATCTTCTGCCAGTGCCTCCCGTGGCTCACGCAGGCCGGATGTGGGGATGGGTCCTCTGCGGGAGCCCTCAAAACAAGCGAAGCGGGTACATGCCTGGGTGTTCACCAGATACGGGAATAGGAAGAAAGGGCTAAAGTTGTACTTTTGAAAGCTAGGAATTCACATCTGTGTTCATTTCTTTTTTTGGTTAGAACCTCTCAGGTTGTAAAGGTCCAGTGACGTGGTTGCCTCAATATTTAACGATGTGAGGGTCTTAGCCCACCCCTTTGCCCGCACCGTCCCAATATTCTTGAAAAAGAACCTTAGTACTTTGATTGTGACTTTAGGTTCATGATTATAAGAAACTCTTGACCTTTTTCTTGTTACATACGTGACACATTTACAACTTTCTCTAGACTGTCAATTTCAGTAGAATTCTGATACTTAGTTCAGAAACTTGTCTGTCTTTGAGGGGACACTTCTTGAGGTGCTCTGGCCTTGGCCTGTGACTTCCCGCTTACCTGAGATACCGAGGAATTCGGACCTCCCTCTCCACTGTTCAGCCGTGAACATTTCCCATTCCTTCCCTGGCTAGGCTCTGGAATGGATCCATGACAACGGGGAGTTCTACCTGTCCACACACACCTCCACGGGTTCGAGCATACAGCACACCCAAGAGCTGCTGAAGGAGCACGAGGAGTTCCAGATAACCGCCAAGGTGCGTCCCGCGGCTGGGCCCGTGTGTTCAGGGGCCTGTGCGCCTGCTTGGGCTTTTCCAAAATAGCCCCGAATGGGATACTTTGAGTAAATAAAGTAATTCTCCAAAGTGTCATTTAAGAAATACCTTATGAAACGAGAAAGAGCGTGACCCAAGTGGATTGTTACACGTGAATTTTTTGATACTTCTTACTGCCTTTCACGCCTGCCCCTCAGTTTTCCCTTCATTTATCTGTTTACTGCTGTTCCTCTCCTTTTCATCATTATTCTCTTTTTCTTTCTGATTTCTTTGCTAAGGTGTTTTCTGAGTACTTGCAGTTTTTATGAACCACTGTTTGGTGTTGCTCTGCGGGTGTTTCCTTTCCTCCTGTTGGTCAGCAAAAGTTGTTACAATTGCCTGGGTTCCACTCAGCCGCGCAGGAAGCTGGCTGTGTTTGTAGCTGTCAGGCTTTGGGTTGTTAGTAGGTCTGTAAAACTGGAGGCATTTTCTGTCTTCTCCCAAAAATCAAAATAAAACCAAACACGCCTTTATGGCATACGCACTGTAGGTGAGTAAATTTTAGTTTTTAAGCAGATATAGGAGAATCTCCACAGCGACATGCAGGGGCTGCCTCCTTCTCGCCCTAGAACAGTTTGCGACTCTCAGAGTCTCCTTTGCAACCCGTGGTGGTGTTCTTTTTTTGTCTTTCAAAGTTTTTGAATATAATTTATTGTAATATTTTCAGAAGTTAACTCTGTTTTGAAGATGGATTTTGAGTTATTAGAAAAAGCTAAAAATTAAATTTTAGAGTAGAAAATAAATGTTCACGCTAAATAATATTTTTGGTTAAAAAGAAGTGTGCCTGCAAGGTAAAAAGGTTGGGGGCGGTGTGTAGCCCTTACCTTGGCTTGAAAACATATCAAAGAGGAATTTTTTAATCACTTGGGATAAAGATAGCTACTTTGTATTATGTTTATTTGTACTTTTTTATGTTTTCTGTAACAATTTCTGACTCCTCCTGTTGTTCCCAGCCCTCCCCTTCCAGTGGCACCCCCCCCCACCCCCCAGTCCAAGCTCTAAGCGAATTTCCTTGCGCTCAGCCTCCGGGTCTTGGGCACCCAGAGCCCCTCGGCTCTGTCCTGAAGAAACATGTAGCCTAGTGGAGCTGCAGACCGACTGGCCACTGCAGGGCCGGTGAAGAGACCTGGCCCTTTGTGGGGCACTGAGAGTGTTGGGTGGGCGGGCGGGCTCAGGCAGGCAGGCAGGCAGGATCGCCTGGCCACGATAGAGGGCCGTGGGTGCCCAGAGGGGAGCCGGCCTGTCCTGCCTCTGCAGGTAAGGATCAAGTCTTTTCCTTCCTCTGGGTACAGCACACCTTTAGCTGTGTAATTCTCATTCTTCTTAATAGTGAGGTAATAAATGACAGTTATCAGGCGTATGGTATGATCTATAGTTCTTTGAATATCCTTTGAACCTGAAGGTATGAGTAAGATAATTAAGACAGCACTCAGTGGTAGGTGTCAGAATTGTTCCTTTTCACTGAGTAAAGTTTCAGCCATGCTCCGCTCGGCAGCCTGTGCTGCGTGGCCAGGCAGCCTGTCCACTGCGTGACTTGCTCCAGGAGCCACCGTGTGCGCAGAGCGTGACGTGGGCATCCCTGCCTGGAGCCGAGGAGCGTGGCAGCCCTGTTCCACCCATGGAATCTGTACGAAAGGATTGCCCTATTATTAAATTTGCTCTTTCCTCAAATTTGGAGTAGGATTTTTGGAAGAAAAATCAGTAGTAGGCATTGTTTTGGTTTTTGCCCTTGTGTTTTGTTTTTTTAAAAGCATCTAAAATTAAAGATGACATGTGACCTTTGTGTTTCGCCAATATTGAGTTGTTTCTTTCATCAGGTATATTGATTAGAAGAACTGGTAGGTTTTGAAAAAACACCTCTCACTTTTTTTCTTAGCAGTGTATCTTTGTTTGGTTTCTGGCTGCCTTTCTTTTCATCAGAAAGCACCTGCTTGGGTGCTGGGAGCTGTTGTGTAGTTTCTCCTGTTGAAACCGGGCTACCTTCTTGTTTGCCCTCTGTCACCCTATCAGACTGTCTCCTAAGAAATCGTTTTTCTGTTACATGGAGAGTCCTTCACTCTGACAGGACAGTCTTCCAATCCAACTGTTACGGTAATTAGTACTGCAACACTTTTAGGTGTTAATGGAAGTAAAGTCTCTCACTACTAAGACAAATCTATTGATTTGCAACTCAATGCATTTAAAAACACATTCCTGTAATCAGAATCAACTTATTGGTGTTTATATACCAGCAACTCTTCTGTTTTGTGATGTTACACAAATACAGAAATCTTCTTGAAGTTTCTTGCTGTTTTGTTTTCTCTTTTAAGTAGGAAAGCTGCATTATCTGTTTTTATCTTCACTTCTCTTAAAGCAAAGTTAAAACATGATAGCACTTAAAACATGACAGAGCTTTCTTAGCCCCTGAAGAGATCTGTGTAGTTTGTGCTTCAGTACTGGGACAGCATCACTTTTCTGTGCTTTTCAGCAGGTTAATATCTTGGCACACAGAGTGAAAGCTGATAAATGCAACCTAATTTTTGCAAATCCTGCACTGGTCATATAAATTCTCTTAGATATTAACATTTAGTAGTGTTTCGCCCTGTGGCTGGTGTGGCTTAGGGGACTGAGCACCAGCCTGTGAACTAAAGGGTGGCCCGTTTGGTTCCCAGTCAGGGCACGTGCCTGGGTTGCAGGCCAGGCCCTCAGCAGGGGGCACACAACACACAGCCACACACTGATGTTTTTCTCCATCTCTTTCTCCCTCCTTTCCCCTCTCTCTAAAAATAAATAAAAATCTTTTTAAAAAATAAAATAAAATTTAGTTGTGTTTCTAAGTTAATTCCTTTTGGAATTTATGCTTCTAGATCAGAAACTTGGGCTTCTTGTTTCCTTGGTTTATACTTAGGTCCATCTCATCCTCGAGAGGCTTCGTGCCGATGACAGGCCAGAAAGTGTGTTTAACAGATACTGTCCTTTTAGCTCACTCTGCTAGAGTTCATTTTCAGACAGAACGAAAGCCCTAGAAACTTGGAGAGTATTTGCAGTGTTGCTGACTTTTTCCAATTAAGCAGCTTTTATAGAATCCACAATATTGATTTTTTTCACAGAGGTAATTAATGTTCCTCAAGTTTTGTTTTCACATATTTTTTGAAGCATATGTATTTATGCTGCTCAGAGTAACTACTATACCCATTAAAGTTACAGGCATACACACTCCTGTATGAAGAACAGAATGTTAACTTACTTTCTCAGCAAATATTTGGTGAACAGTCACTATGCGCCAGACACGTGGAAGGTGCAGGAGATGAGTAAGCAGAACAAGTACCCCCAGCCTGTGGCAGTTACCATCTAAGAGAAGAGAGACAGACAATAATGTCATAGGTACATTACACCCTTGTTAGAAGGTGCAGCATGCTGTTAGAAACAGTAGAGCCGATGAGGAGGGGTGGTTGGGGCAGGCGGAGGCCTTTGGGGGCGCAGACATGAAGGCACCATGGCATCTAGGGGAACAGCATGACAGGCAGCAGGAGAGCTGTGCAGAGAGCCAAAGGCAAGAGCTGGTCTGGGTGCTGGACACGGGGGAAGGCTGGGTGCTCAGACCCCGCCAGGTTGTCTGGGGTTCGCATACAGTCTGAAGATCTTTGCAGCTGCCTTGACAGGCTCCCTGGTGAATTCTCGTTCAAAATTTTATTCTACAGACCACAATAAGTTATCCAGGTTTTGAACTCTGACCTTTCTTTTGGGGATTTTAAAGTCAATTTCCTGAATGTTAGTTATAAAGATTCATTAGTTAAAGCTTATCTGAGAAAAGCAGGTTCCACAGCGGAAGAGTAACTGTACTCATCTGACATGCCAGTGGGAATATTGAAGGAAGCCTCATGGTAAAAGTAAATGAAATGGATGTGACTAAAGATCGGTTGAAAAATCAAAGATGACTGAAGTTACTGCTGTATATATAGAACCAGTGTTTAATAGTTAACCTTACACAAAGAAATGTAACACTTAATAAAAGATCTTTTCTATGTATGTATAGAATGAAGTAATCTCTTAAAGGATTTCTATTTATTTTTAGAGAGAGGGGAAGGGAGGAAGAAAGAGAAACATCGATGTGTGAGAGAAACATCTATCTGTGGCCCCTCACATGCCCAGAGCTGGGGACCTGGTCCGTAACCCAGGCATGTGCCCTGTCCTGGAATTGAGCTGGCAGCCTTTCAGGTCACAGGCCGTCACTCAAACCATTGAGCTATACAAGCCAGGGCTGAAATGATTTTTCTAAAAGAGGGAATTCTAAACAGGAAACAAAAATTTAAATCCCTCTATAGAGATCATTCCCTGACTGGTGTCTTCCTCCATACCTCCCACGAGTGAAAAGACACTTGAGCCTGTGATGCACGGGAGCTTCATCTGTGATTCCTTTGAGCATCTGCCGTGGCAGACCCTTGCCACACGTGCACCAGGAAAAGTCGGATGGCTGCTGTCCTAATAAAACTTCTTGTTTTAACTGGGCACTTAGAGTTAACATGAATAAAGCGGGGCGGTCTTTGTAACCCATGCGTATACTGTCAAAGGATAGTCATAGAATCAGAGGGAGGACGTCCGAGTGAGCCTTCACTGGTGCATTCCACAGATGGTTCCTGAGCATTCGCCAGGACAATACATTCAAAGTCTAGATTTTTTTACCCCAGGTCTTAAAATGCCATTCGTTGCAGAGGAGCTGAGGACAGAGAGCTAGTCTAGGCTCGGGGCCATGAATTGGATGGACTTGGGGCGTGAGTCTGAGTTTCTATCACTAGCCATGTTTTTCTGGTTCAGAGCTGACCTGTAGGCAAGTTGCTCCTGTTTCGGATTCCTGGCAGCTGGGTTCATTTGCTTCATTATACTTTCCTGTTGTTTCGCTTTTTTTTTGCAGCAAACCAAAGAGAGGGTGAAGCTATTAATACAGCTGGCTGATGGCTTTTGTGAAAAAGGGCATGCCCATGCGGCAGAGATAAAAAAATGTGTCACCGCCGTGGATAAGAGGTACAGAGATTTCTCTCTGCGGATGGAGAAGTACAGGACCTCTTTGGAGAAAGCCCTGGGGATTTCTTCAGATTCCAACAAATCGGTAAATTTTTTTGTGCAAACTGTGTAAATCATGGCGCCCTCCTTCGTGTCCTGTTTGTTGATTCGGTTCACTGAAGTTCATTGACTCTCTTATTCCACAGAGTAAAAGTCTTCAGCTAGACATCATTCCAGCCAGTATCCCTGGGTCAGAGGTCAAATTGCGCGATGCTGCTCATGAGCTTAATGAAGAAAAACGGAAATCTGCCCGCAGAAAAGAGTAAGCCAGTCTTTAAGAACCTGCCAGATTGAAAAAGTCAAGAAAATGTCACTTGGACAAACATGCTTCTGTGTGTGCTTTGATACCAAATGTCTTTATGACATCTCGTTCTTGTGAATGGGCTTAGTTTTTGCAGCTCAAACTTTACTGTGTGCACTGTCCCCTTATCACCTGCATCAGAAACAGTATCTTGTTATTTTTATCCCCGCACCCCTGTTTCAAGTGGGGTGGCAATTTGATACAGTGTCATTTGTCATCAATAAGTCACGACTAGCAATACTAAGGAGAAATTAATAACACTAGGGGAGGTATTTAAACAGTGCCAGTTAGCAAACTATACTAGATATTAATATGACAAAAAGGTTGTTCTAAACCAGTGATTCTCCGTTGGGCAGTTTTGTGCCCTGGGGGACACCGCAGTCTGTGGCGATGGGGACTGGGGGTGCTGCCTCTGAGACCTGGTGGGTGGCAGCCAGGGAGGCCGCTCAGCACCCTGCAAGGCGCAGCCCAGCCCCCAGCAAAGCGTCCTCTGGCCTCAGGCGTCAGTGAATTCTTTTTTCCTTTGAATTTGGCTGGATACTGATATCGTTCTATCTATTCTTGATTTAATCACCAAAACACATTACTGCCTGATGATTTTTAAACCACTTGATTATTTCATAAACCATAAAAGTGGGTAGTGAATCCTGCCTGTGAACTCAACTACTTACTATCTTCCTCTGTTTAAGGTTCATAATGGCTGAGTTAATTCAAACTGAAAAGGCTTATGTAAGAGACCTCCGGGAGTGTATGGATGTAAGTAAGTTTTTTTACTTATTTATTTAGATCGAGTATAATCTTGTTTTTATATAATCACACTTTTTCATTGTGCTTGAGATTTAAAGTTTGCATAAATCGCTAGTTTCAATGTTTGTGCACCTCTGTGAAATTCTAGGCTTGTGTTCTGCTTGTTACGGGGATGACACATCATTAACCCTGTTGTTCCATTTGTCACATGATGGCCTGGCTGGGATTCCCTTCATACAGAACTTTGTAGCAGCTTCAGAGAAATGTGCCTTCCAATTATGATTGACAACTAATACTCAGTAGTTTTATGACTATTCATTGTACGTTGTAGACTAGGTTTATTCCAAAATTCAAAGCTGGGAATAAGTGGAGTGCTGAAAAGTACAAGAACTATTCTCAAGTATTATAGCAGCTGGGGAGCTCTTTTTTTTTTTTTTCTTTCAGTTTTTTATGCTTGTCTAAAAGATTCCATTCTTAAGGTATATTTTCAGGTATACATTAACTCTGGGTCCATATCTACAGATGTCAGAAACATCTGTTTCTTGAAAGTCTGGTGTCAGTTGCTGTCTAATGCCTCTGTTTCCCTCTGGCCAGACCTACCTGTGGGAAATGACCAGCGGCGTGGAGGAGATCCCCCCGGGCATTGTGAACAAAGAGCTCATCATCTTCGGGAACATGCAGGAAATCTATGAGTTCCACAACAAGTGGGTGACTTTATTTTTGCGGAGCCGTGGCTAGTTACTCCCGAAATCTCGGTCCTATGCTGACGTTTCATAACAAGAAATCAAGGTTTCTGAGAGAAGCAAGCATTGATTTCAGTGACTCTGTTGAAATTTGAATGAAGCCTGTCAGGCTTTCTTCAGAAAGACTGACCTTGTCGAGGCAATTTTAATACAGACTCAACTTTCTATCCGCACACACTTTCTGTAGAAATAAGATCAGAAAAACAGTGAAAACTGTCTTTGTGAGAACCCTAACTTCTCTCAAGCTGTGCCATCAGCTGCTACATCACTTATTTTTTAGGGTTAAAAGAAAAAAGAGGTTCCCATGGGTGTCAGGCAGATGTTTGGTCTTTTTGGATAAGAGGGAACTGAGGGTGGAACAGATGTGTAGTCTGTGCAAAATGAAACGCACTTTCCATCAGTCAGAGGAGGCACATAGTCTTATTTCTAAGAAATTTTTTAAAAGCAGCAGAAGCTCCTTTCGGTAGAGGATTGGGCTGCGCAGCCCAATCGCCCATGGAAAGATGATGCTGGGCCAGAGCTTGCAGGGTCATCCTCATTCCCCCGCCCCCACCCCAGCAAAAGACACTAAACTCTAAAGGGTTTCTTCTGATTGAATGTTTACATCCCTACATTATGACCCTAGCTACTAAACATGGCACTTTCCCAGAAGGGAGCCACTAGGATAAAATTTCTAGTAGAAAGTGTTTAAGTGCTAAACTGATTAGCTGGAAGTCATAACTTACTCTAGTTGAGAGCTATACATTTTGTTAAATCTCAAAATCTAGAAGGCACACATTTTCACTGCACATGATTAAAAAGATGAAATTCAGGCATTGCCTGAAGTCATGGTATGCTTGTTCAAATTTCTGGCATATTTCATTACTAAAATGTTTTAAAACATCATAATAATATGATAACGTTTTTATTCTCTGTAGCATATTCCTGAAAGAGCTGGAAAAATACGAGCAGTTGCCAGAAGACGTTGGGCATTGCTTTGTTACTTGGGTAATGAAACCTCGGCTTCTTGTTGTCCCACAATTACTTGGTGTCTTTGAAGGAAGTTAGAAGGAACATTGTTCATTTCTTTTCTGTCACCATCTTCTGCTGGTAGCTGCATAGAGAACTGGACTTTGTCTTGAAGAATTACATTCCCCAGCTAGTTATTCATGCAGAATGAGCTTATTATTGGCAGTAATGATGATTCGCAATAGACCATTTAGTGTGCCCGGCCTCTGGGAATTCACAGCTCAACACGAGCTCCCAGTCCTGCCAGGGGCGGGGGTGGGGTCCCCCCGTCTGGAGGGGAGGCAGGCAGACAAGTGACCCGGTGACTGTGCCTCCTAGGCCCACTGCCCGCGTTTGCACACGCCACGGTGGGGCGAAAGGGAGGACGTGCCCAGCCCCGCCTCGCGGGGTCCAGGGAGGCTTCTGGAGGTGTGCGGTGTCAGCAGGAGGTGTTTATTTTAATAGGTGTCTTTATAAAATAGGGTTTCTTTAAATCGGGGCTTAAATATCCTTTATCCACACAGTTTCTTCCCAAAAGTTTATCATATTTTGATGTACAGCCATTTGAAAATGATATTCTCATTTTTTTTTTTAATTTATAGGCAGACAAGTTTCAGATGTATGTCACTTATTGCAAAAATAAGCCTGATTCTACTCAGCTGATACTGGAGCATGCAGGATCCTACTTTGATGTAAGTCATAGATGACTAAGGAAACTGTGAAATTTCTTAAGTTGTATTTGACATGCATAAAATGCAATATTATTCATAATTTTCACCTAATTGATGGGACAGTATTTTCATTTTTATCTGTCACATACATAGTGGGATATTACTATATTTTCTTCTGTTTTTTTAAAGCTACTTCTGAAGGTGTAGCAAGCTGTATATCTGTAAGAAGTTCAGATTTTAATATGCACATGTGTATACATCATTACTTAGTATTTTTATATGACCATAAATTTTTACATGTAAAATTTTGTATACAAGACATACACTATTAAGTTAAGCTTTTCCCTTCTTAAAAAAAAAGTAACTTAGGATCTTTTTTAATCATTTATTTTTTGTATTTGTATTTCATGATGTTATTTTCTAAAAGTGGCCTACCAGTAAAATTTTACAAATAGCACTGTAACAACTAGACACTTTGGGAGATTTATTAATTATATTCTTACTGGTGTAAACATAGGGGTAGCTCATCATTTTTAAAAAGATATTGCAGAGTAGTTATTTAGTACAAAAAAGAATGGAGCCTTATAGTATGACATGTAGAGTGCCCTTTTGGGTTTCCAGAAATGTATTCAAATGTGTGCCAAATAAATTTTGATTAAAAGATGAGGTACTTCTGAATATTATGTATAATTTGGTGCATTGAGCCACGAAGGATATCAGACGTGGATTTTGTTGGTGTGCTTGTGCACAGCCAACGGCGATAACCTGCTTTTCTCCGCAAGTCTCAGAGATTAGAATACAGTTTAGCTTCATCTCCGAGATGATGCGCCACCTGCAGATGGCCCTGTCTCCGCTGTCATGCTCATGCGCGGTACTCACACATCACTGCCTCTAAAAATACAAAGGCTGCCCCCAGGCCTTTTCATTATTTCACAGGACCCTAGGTCTTCGCCATCAGGAGAAACCCCACACTGTGTGGCCACGTGCAGCGTTAGAATTATTTAGGGCCTAAGCGTGGAGAACATGTGGAACATGTAATGCTTGGAATCAAAGCCATGTTAAAAAAAACACACACAAAAAACCCCTTTGCCCTCAAAATCTTCAAGAATACAGAAAATCATGTTTGTCTAGAGACTTCACAGGCTATGTGCCTCCTTGTAGTTCTCCTTATGCAGTGTTTTTGCTCCTCTATCAGGGGCTCCTTTGACCCCCAGCATTGGTCATAGGTCCTTAGCAGAGTGACACAGGGCGCCCAGCTCTGTGGAGAGGTGGGAAAGCTGCAAGGACTTGATTGCGTGTAAATGACTTAAATACAAAAGCAAAGGAAAAATCATGGCCTTGGATATGTCACTAACCAGAGAGCTAGATCCTCCTTTTACCCCCAGCTCTCTGTGCCCTCCCGTCCAAAGTAAATTTTATAAGCAAAGAAATTTCAGAAAAGGGAAACTTTATTATGTCAGCAGGATTAAATCTTTGTCAGATATTTTAGATTACTGTGATCTTACAACCATTTTTGAACTGTATAATACTGTGATAAGGTAATAAGGATGTCAACAAAATAGATTCATGTTTAGAAATATGGGAGATGCATTTCTGAAAATGTTACTAGAACAAGGAGTATTAAAAAGACATTAGGTTGTATTCCAGCATATTGTGGCATATTCAGGAGACGGACTACTGCTCAGCAGTATGAAGGGTTCCTTTTATGTGAACTTGCAGAATATGCAAGGCTAATCTCTGGTGATAGAATTCTGAAACAAAGGTACCCTCCTCGCGGTGGTGGGAGTGGCGGCGGGGGGTAGGGGACTCATTGGAAAGGGGCCTGAGAGGACTGCCTGTGATGGCGGAAATACTCTGTATCTTGGCTTGGGAGTCGGTTACCAGGGGGTAAACATTGCCCAGAACTCACTGACCTGTCCTTAAGACTTTAAATTATACTGTATGTGAAAAGAAACCCTTTAGATGTGATATTAAATGACGAAGGGGTGTATCATCATTACATCTTGAATTGCGCATGTTTTAATCATTGCAAGTTGAAAGGAAGCTTTCAAAACTATATTTATGACCTGGAAGCCAGAGGAGGAGTTGTCAGGTTTTTCATTTAATCTGCTTGATGCCTGAGTGACAAGTCACTAGGTGATTCCTGCGGCTGCCATTTCAGAGGACTCACCCTCTAGTCTGCTCTTTCTGGAGAGCCTAATCTAAATGACAAACAGCTGGAGAACACAGGGTGTGGTGGCTTTTAAATCCAATGGGAAGCTGATACATACACTATCAGAAGATCATTGTCTCTTTTTAAAAAACTTCTGAGAAGGATGCTAAGAATTAAGAAAATGCAGGTACAGTAGGTTGGTGTGAAAATTCTGGGTTAGAAGGTAGTTGAGTAATGAGAGCGAATCAGGGAGCAGAATTCTTGGTAGTGTGCCTGGCTGGAAGAACGAGGCCTCTCCTAGGGAGGGCTGGGCGATCGGGAGGGATGTGGTCTGTGGCTCAGCGGCTGACGCTTCAGGAGGGCGGGTGAGTCAGCCCCTGACTCCGCTGTGAGGGCCAGCCCCTGGGGACTGCGCAGGGAGTTGTCGGCCTGGCCCGTGTCATCTCTGCACCCGAGAGCCAGTAATACAAAGCAAACGCTGCTGTCTTCTGGGATCAAAGTGGTAACTTGGCTGAGATTTATTATTTTTAGCTTGACCATATTAAAAGAATAATCAGTGATTTTTGCTTTATACTTACAGAAAAATAGCATGCGTATATTCATTATGGGGGAAATAAATGTAAACTTTCTGTTGGTGCCATCTAACTTACCCAGTGGTGTTTTTATTTATATATACAATTTTTGTTTCATTCAGGAGATACAGCAGCGGCACGGATTGGCCAATTCCATCTCTTCCTACCTTATTAAACCAGTTCAGCGAATAACGAAGTATCAGCTCCTTTTAAAAGTATGTATAAAGCATCTTCAGCCCATAAAATTTTGATTTGCACATTGCTATTTTTAAATTTTTCTTTATACGTAAAGTACCCTGAATTTTTAAAATAACACCCAGCATATTGTTTTAATTTTTAAATTCATTGCCATTTATTTCCCTGCCCGATTTCTTAGTGTAGCAGGTAAATAAGAGTTTATTCCTTGGTTATACACCTATGCACCTAACCATCACTGACCAACCATAGTCCCTAACACAGAGTGAGAAAGGAAAGAGAAATTTGTCGGCCCTGTGTATTTTATACCAGTGTTCCCGGTGTGGCTTGCTGGTTACGGGCAGCCACTGTGCTGTACACGTGTGTGTATTAAGTTAACCTCGCAACAGTGCTAGTGTGCAGGGCTGATAACTGGCCTCTGAGGGCACAAGGATGCGCCCAGCGTCGTCATGGGATCCCTACCACCCGGGCGCGACCGTGCGCTCAGGTTGGGCTAATGCCCAGGTTTTCCACTGAATCCAGGGAGAACCCACCCTTAGGAGCTTCCTCCCTATTATCTCTAGTCTGGCCATTTGTCACACAATTTACGCACCTTGTTCGTACAAGTCACAAGTATGTGAATCACTCTGACCTCTGCTTTTTATTGGTTATAAATGATTATAATTCAGATCACACTTGTAAAAATTTAATAACAACTATTAGTCTTGACAATAGGATGGTAAAGAAAACTTAGAATTTGTGATAAGAATGTCAAAGAATGTATTACATATATAATTGATGCGTATTTTCTTGACTATAAGGAAAATCATCTACAATCTCCATTTGATGTTTACCCTACCATTTCCTTGGCTGGTGAATGTTATTAATTAAGCATTAGACTGTACCAACCACCCTTTCTTCCCAGCAGCAGTATTTTATGAATCCAGCTGTGTCCCCAGTTCACTCATAGCACAACAATAGGAGGTGATCATGAAAATCAGAAGATGGTATTATGAATACCTGAAACTTTTTACTCTTTTTGTGAGTAAGAAAAATCTAGAAACAGTTAAGAAGTGGCTACATTCTTTTGTGAAAGTGATACCATTCTGGAACTTTTCTAGCAGAATAGACTTCCTGCACTTTGGTACCAGAATCTCACTGAGTGGTGGTCTCACTATCCCTGCAGAAAAATGTGGGTGCTGTAAACGTGAAATAGAAGCCAGTAGGCCAAGCTGTTTATATTAACATTTGCTCTTTGCTTTCTAATTTGCAAAAGCAGTTTACCTCTTGACATCCTCAGGCTCTAAGAATTTTGTTTTTGGCATGGGGTTCCACTGAGGATCTCTTTTTGTATGACCTCACATCTAGTCACTCATGATTAGGTGTTTTAATATATAAACCTCCCTTGATTCTGCTGAGTGGTTCTTGTGGAGAACAGAAATAAGCTTTTCTGCCAGTGCAGTAAGTCTCTGCCTTTTTAAAGCACTTTTTGCTGTGCCGTTCAAAATAATAGATGAACATCCTCTGGTAGTGAGAAAAGGTGCTTGTCAGGTAGCTAAATTGCTGTAAATCATCCAGTGTGAGACAAAAGCTGACTGCATGGTCATGTCCATCTGTTGAACACTGGGACACAGAAAGCTGTTGATACTGTCCCTGACTAATGGTCACTAACACACTGGTAGAATATCTCAGAGTGCAGAAGAATATGAATTTGTTGTCCTTGCCATCATTCATTCCACACCGATGTCCATCTGAGATCTGAGATGTACTCACACCCTGCAGTGTAATGCAGTCATTGGAGCGTTTTCTAAACATTCCACACACAAACCAAAGGTGTTTCATGGTATACATTCCTACAGTGTTATCCTGCCGCACAGGGTGGCAGTTCCAGGTTCGATGGCCTTGTGTGAGTGGCACCAGAGTCCAAAATCATGCTGGGATCCTGTGGGAAGCATAGCAGCACGAGCTGGGCTCCAGCATAACCTTCAGATACAACCAGTAGCTGACTGTGCTATGCTCTACTCATTAAATATTTCTGTTGGTCATTTTCAAGGCTTGATAGTTAATGTGTATACTGATTTTATCTTAAATTATGACTGCACCTGGTTTACTCTAATACGATATGTAGGTAGTAATTTGTTTTCTATGAAAATATATGGCCAGTAGACCACAGTCTGTTTTTATCTTGAAAATCGTGGATTTTCTTAGATCCTCATTTCTGCAGAGATCTTGGTGGTAGAGAATTTCACAATTTTTGTCTAGTTCATGGTCTTGGGCTTCCACAGGAGCTGCTCACATGCTGCGAGGAAGGGAAGGGGGAGATCAAAGATGGCCTGGAGGTGATGCTCAGCGTGCCCAAGCGGGCCAACGACGCCATGCACCTAAGCATGCTGGAAGGTAACGGAACCCCCACATCCCCCAGCCCACATTAGTGCGCTTTCTTCCGATGTCTGTAAATGAATTTCCCATGCCCTGAAAATCGTGACTTCATGCCTCTATGTTTGTGTAGGATTTAAGAATCTAGATGTGAATGTCTTCTTTTTTAACGAATTGGTTTCATTGCTTCCCTTAAAGATCACATGAACTGCTTCCATCTCTTTAAATGCCTGTCCCTGTTCATTACGGGAGAATGGCCTCCCCATGCTCTGAACCCCAGGAACACTTTTTGCCACTTGCCTTAGCCCACCTGGTCTCTGTGTTAGGTGGATGGGTATAAGGAAAGATAGGTCAGTCTCCCAAGATTCTAAAATCCTTAAAAGAGCTTGTTGCTTCTTCATTTCTATGTCCCTTGCATCACTCACTGGAGCCTTGAACATGGCAGGTACCATATACCTGCTTGTGCAGTTCAACGTGGCATATAACATGGTAGAGAATCAGATAACTGCACATAAAAATTTTTGTTGCGATTTATTTTTGCAAATACCTCTGTCCAGGACAGCTCATTGTGTGTTACAGAGCTTAGCTCTTATGGTCAGGTGACACAGAAGCATGTATGCGAAGTCTGTGGCGGCCTACGCCGTCATCGCCGTGGCAGGGGCAGTACATGAGTCAAGGAGGAGCTGCTGCTTGCTCTTTGTTTAGAGACCCAAAAATCAGAGGCCAAGCGACCTGGCTTTTTCTTTTCTCTGAAGTAAAATCCTGAGCTGGTGCGTCAGCCCATCGCGGCATCAAAGGCTCAGGCTCTGTTCCAGCTAGTTGGTCTCCACTCCTTGGACGCTGCCTGGCTGGCTTGGTTCAGAATGTGTCGAGATGTTGTTAACCTTCCGTCTAGCAGGAAGTGGGAGAGAGGAAGGGAAGGGAAAGCTAGAAAGGCAGAAACTGGACATTGTGCACCTGACTATCCACACCTGGCCTGAGTGTAGGTGTGCGGCTGCCCTGACTGCAGAGGGTGCTGGGGAAATGCAGTGCTGCTCTCAGCATCCATGAAGGAGGCGGGGCTTCTGCTGTTAGGGAGGAGGGGGAGAGCGGAAGTTGGGAGATAACTCGCAGCTCCCACCTGTCCCAGGTATCTTAAAGTCCATGCAATGGGTCACGTCCATGAAGAGATGAGCGTTAGGGAGAGCCAGCCAGGGACCAGAGCATGGCTGATTTGCATGAAGAATTTTGTATTCAAAGGAAGGAGAACTCCACCAAAGATGAGTAGCCAGGGCCAGTTCCCAGGGGAAGGCTTGACCACGGCCTTGAAGAGAGCCTGAAACTGCTGTGGAATATGTGGGAAGTATGTTCTAGGCTGAGGAAGCTGAGGATCAAGACAGGCTGGAATAGGTGAGGGCCGTGGGAAGTCAGGGAACCGTTCCGGGCAGAGGAGGAGGAGGAGGTCAGTATGGTGGACTCTGTGAGGGTAGGGCAACGAGGCGTAGGGAGGTAAACTGGTCTCAGATGGTGACATCGCCACCCTGCCACCCTGAGCAGATAGAACTTTAAAGAATAAAGCCAAGAGGAATCCCTTTCTTTTTTTTTTTTTTTTCCTTTTTGAATGGCTGAAAATATATATAAAGTCTTGCTTTAGGAAGAACTGCCCTTTGTCAGATGGGTCAGTGCTGGGGAGACTGGAGTCTGGGGCCCAAATGGGAAACGCTAGTCTGAGATTTAATCAACGGGCATTTTACAAGTGTTTAAGTAGTCATAATGCTGTCTTTTTAATTTTTGCTTTAAGTTGATTGTGCCTCCTTTCTTTATGTTGCAGGGTTTGATGAAAATATTGAGTCTCAGGGAGAACTCATCCTGCAGGAATCCTTCCAAGTGTGGGACCCAAAAACCTTAATTCGAAAGGGTCGAGAACGGCATCTCTTCCTTTTTGAAATGTCCTTAGTATTTAGTAAAGAAGTGAAAGATTCCAGTGGGAGAAGCAAGTACCTTTATAAAAGCAAATTGTTTGTAAGTATACGCATGCAGAGTTTTAAGTTTAAAGGTCACACAATTGCAAATTTTCTGTAGGTAGAGGAAAATTACTACTCTTTACCTTTAGTTTACGCTCCCCAACATCCTGAAATGTTAAGTCCGAAATTGTCCTGTTTTCATCTTCTTCAGTGAAATTCTCTGACAGCTTTGATCCACTAGAGAGCGCTCATGAGTTTGAGCTTCCTAGACTTAGGATACTTGTTTTCTTAAATTCCATAGACTCTAACTACAGGATAAGAAAACACTTTGTAAGTGAATTTAAATCCTTTACCTCCTATATACCTTAACTAGTTTTATAAATACATAAATTGATCATATCAGACTGTGATTAAGTTCTCATATTATTATAATTAATTTTTCATTCACCAACACTGGAATATATTTAAGCAGCCTTGCTTTGTGGCTCACTGTGGGATCTTAATGATGAGATTTGAAATTTTTTTCATTAAAACTAAATGTATAATAAATAAATAAATAAATAAATAAATAGGTGGGTTAACAATAGCAAAATATCATTGAAGGAAAGTATATGTAAGCAAAATTAGTATTAAAGATCAACAATTACACCTTTTTAGGGACAATTGTCCTTGGGTGCTTGGTAGATGCAGTGATACTTTTGAACTCTTGTCAGTATACTTCCTGGCAAGCACACCCAACCAATCTCTTTATAAAGTCACATGCTGACCCTCAGAAAAGTCTCAGGCCAATGTCGTCCCCTAAGTCCGCTATATTTCTTTCTTCCCTTAGTGGGCAGTATCTCAGAGGGCTGTCATCAAAAAAATTGCTGGACAGGGTCAGGCAGCAGGAGGATTGGGCAAAACTAAGGAAAAATCACCATCACAGAAAGAACAGAAAATGCAGTTGAGTTTGGTTTCTTGATACAAAGTATGGCAAATTGCTTATAAATATTGGTAGATGTTTGGAATTTGGATAGGTTATATTTTATATATTATACATCTTTATGATATCCATATGTTAATCAAATTCCCAAAGTAATAAGATACCACCAAGTGTAGAAATCATCTTAATAATAATCTGGAATTTGCAAGTTCAAACTAATGGTTTTCATACCATTTTCTTTGGCTGACATCCTGTTTGAGATTGTCTTTTGGATCCCTGCCCACCTTACATCATTTTAGATCATATTCTAACTGCAAAGAAAAAATGCAGCATTGCTGGCTAGTAATTTCACTAGCTGGTTTTAATCTATCCTTTGAGACCTAGCTAGTCTGTTTTAGAAGCTGATACATCTTCACTTAATTTATCTTCTAAAAGTTAAGGTTCCCTCAGAGGCCACCTCTGGAGCTATAGCTTATGAATCACTTCCTTTGCTGGAGGGAGAAGAACGCATTCGGGGTGAACTCGATTGTGGTGGGGCTGTGGGGGCTGAAGATGTTGACCTTCACCTATACTCTTCCATCTTGTGCATATTACAACTGCATATATTACGTACAGCAATTTTGCCTCTTAGCCCTTAAAATTATTGGCGAAATACTAAAAGTGAATGCTATTGATAAATAAATTGTACATCATTTGCCCTTTGTGAAGCTACTTTATTAATACTGAAAATGAAAGGTGGCAGCTCTTTTTACAACTAGAAAAAAAAAATCACTTTGTTATTTATATAGTTGAAATTAGTCATCTTGCTTTTCCAGATAATAGGGTTTTCCAATATTTTGCTTTGCTTCCTCTGGATTTACTTGTTGACTTGCATTAGAATCTCAGTAGAGGTGCTCAGAGGAAATGAAAAAGATAAAACCTATAGTTTGTAGCCAACGAACAAAATTTCCTCATTTTAACTAAAATGAGGGCTAAAGATTTCCCATTAACGTGTTAACACAGTATGTTGTTATAATTGAGCATGACCACGAGTCACCAAAAACGAGGGATTTTGGGGGCGGGGTGGGAGGGTGTGGTCTTTGAATTACAGTCTCATTTACTGATACCTGTCTTTTTTATCCAGACCTCAGAGTTGGGTGTCACAGAGCATGTGGAAGGAGACCCTTGCAAGTTTGCACTGTGGGTGGGGAGGACGCCAACTTCAGATAATAAAATCGTCCTTAAGGTACGTTCGTGTGAAGCTCAGGGGTGTGCCGTGTGACAAGTTTATCATGGCAGTGTATGCTTTTCTTACCCCTGTGGTTGAAACGTACTGGTTTTCATATCATTTTATGTGTTCCTTTCATGTCCTGTTGGGATTAGTGAGTACCACAAGAAGAATGGTAGAATAAATTGAGTTTGGTACTCCAGGGTTGAAATAATGTGAGCTCAGTTTTGCTTGCCAGCTCAAGATCAAATGGAGCAAGTCTTCATCCTTTTCCTATACTTCTAGTCTTAAAAAGAATGAGCACATTCCCTGAGAGATGCAGGAAGCTAAGATAGGGGAGAAAAGGGATATAGCTTCCGCTGCACACGTGACTTCAGGTTTCCAAAGGCAAATGGGCACCTGCCAGAGCTGTGATGGCCTTTGACAGTTTCGAGGCTGAGCAGGCCAAGAGTCTCCATGGGGCCAAAGGCTCTTTTGTTTTCTAGTTTGGGGGCAGAGGAAAAAGGGGGATAATTCCCAGGTACAGGGTTTTTTATTATGTTTTGATTTGAAGTGTTCAGACACACGGAGGGTGCTTTGAGGTATGTAGCCTTTGGGGGATGAAAACGTCTTTGAATATTTGATTCAAACCCTGTTTTGATTGTCCTAGCCTCTCCTAGGAATGGCAGAGGGCTCGGGAGTGTCTTAAATAACTCCCCCCCCTCCTGTGTTTGAGAAAATACAGACGGAACTGTCTTTTTTGAGCTGTCTGGAAAGCCCATCATCAACGTAAGGATGTTCTGGGGAAGATGTAGACGAAGATTTGTAGAATATTGGGAGATGGGCCAAAAGCTTAATAGGACTCTGGTGTGTGAACTTGCATGTCAGCGATTTTGTCTCGTACATTCCTTTTGGTCTCTCCTTGGTATTTCCAACACCCATGATTATTCAGCAGCTTGTCACTTGAGTACAGCCTGTCCTTGAGTGAGTGAGGGCCACGCCATCGTGTATCAAGGTGCTTATTCACACAGAAAGAATGAATTGCTTTGCAATGAATAGATGATTACCAGACCAGAGTGTTCTTGTTAGTAGTGGCATAAAGTCCTGCAAAATATTAATTGTACTGTTAGCTAAATATTAGAGAATTGAACTTTTCTAAGGCATAACATTTTAAACTATACTCAAGACCTAAAACTTCCAGCTTATACTAAATGTTTATCCAGACTAGCTGCAGTGACAGATGCCAAAGGGTGTGTCTAAGAAATAGAGCCAGATGTCTTAGCCAGATCTGGACCACTTTCACTTAGGACACGATAAAATACTCATGATGCAATAGAAGTATAAGATTCCTGTGGGCTTTACCAGATGAAGGTTTTCTAGGGAATTCTGAGTAATATTTTTCTGGCTTCCAAGAAGAAACTAAGGGGAATGGTGTCCTCATGAACTTCAGAGAGGGCTCTGTGGTGGCGGCGGTGGAGATGGCTGTAGATGGGTGGAGATCCCGGTGGCGCCAGGATAGGTGGCGGTAGAGACATGGCGATGGCTGAGAACACGGCGGAGCCTTTGGTGGTGGTGGTGGTTGTGGCGCCAGATGAGGTCGCAGTCATGGTGGTAGCGGCAGTGGTGTTGGTGGCCCAGTAGGTGTGACACTACGTTGTTGCCTTTTTTTTCTCTTTCATCATCTTCAAGGAAGAATTTGATATCCAAATCCTTCTTTAAACAGATTGAGACTACTAGGAGATCTACCCAACATAAATGTAGTGATGAATTTGCTTTATAGCATGAGAATTTTCTTTATTTCCGAACCATAGTAACAGCTTTTATTTATTGTCTCCAAATGCTTCCCAGTGTGCCTCCTCAGCTACCTCTCTTGGTTTAACCTCCCAGACATTTGTATCAGGCATTTAAATTCCAGTAGATGTGTGTGTTCAAAGTTGTCTGTCCCGAGACGTTTGTGCCCTAGTCGCACTCCCTGGTTCCCTGATCACCCGGCCGCCTACCCCAGAGGAAATCGGTCTGACTGCTCCCCTGGGAGCAGATCCTGCAGTGGAAGCAACAGGCCCCTTTTATCCTTTATTTCCCCATTACTGTCCCACAATAACTTTAAAGACATATGCTCCAGTGAAAGCGTTTTATTTAGAGAGTTCTCAACTTTAATTTCCTTTCCCGCCATGGGCTTTGGCCTTCCAGTTTCCAAAGCAAGGCCCACCGTGAGAGAGCGGTGGGTCCCCTCCCTTCTGTGTCCTCAGCTGCAGTCCCACTGACGGTTGTTTTAATCATTTACAGGGAATTATGTTTCTATCATGGGAGGTTGGTGTTTTCCATAAGGAAATTAAAAACTGTTACCAAGGCCCAGGACATGTACAAAGGAAAAACAAACCACCTCCTTTGAGGCACCGTGAAAGAAAAAAAATCTGGAAAAAGTGATGCCACATGTGTTCATTCAACAGATGCTAATTGAGTATCTGCTGTGTGTCATGTTCAGAGGACCTTTCTCCACGGTTGTTATAAAATTGAGGCAAACCCACCATGGGCAATTGGCAGTAGGTCATACTGGTTTACTCTAGTGGCTTATTCCAGTTGATAAGCAGGGGTACATTGATGCAGAGCTTGGGGACAGGCTCGGTCATGCACTCTGGTAACTCCAGCTCCTTTATCTGCTGGTAGTGTGACTGGGTGTCCACACCGTGGCCCCTCAAGAGTAAGGGAGGCCTGATGCCGCACGGTGCTTGTGGGAGTGAGGAGAGGAGGCAGGTACTGTTGTTGGACGAGTCCAGTGGACGGGGCAGCACGATACATGGGCGTTAGTTCAGGTTCTGTTGACACTTCACTAGCCACTGACCGCTGCTCTTGGCCTAAATGGCCTTAGAGAAGCTCTGGTTTAGGGCGGCCCTGTTTTCGTATTTTCCCAGGGCTGCTTTAAAGTTCTCAAGGCCAGGGAATGATTGATGATTAGAATATCCAGAGGTCTGAAATAAATGCTATAAAAATAAAAATGGTTTTGATGAAAAAATATTCAAAACAAGAGTCATTGATTTGGTGGCACATTAAACATAGGATGTGGTTGCTTTTCTGCTGGGAAGTTATTTTTAAAATGGGAAACTCCAGGAATGCGGGAGACCTGTGTGTGGTTAGTGCAGCATCTGGAAAGGGCCCCTTCTGTGTCCTCACGGATTCTCGCACGTTGTGAAGGCTTCCAGCATAGAAAACAAGCAGGACTGGATCAAGCACATCCGGGAAGTGATACAGGAGCGGACTATCCACCTGAAAGGCGCCCTGAAGGAGCCCATTCACATCCCCAAAACAGCCCCAGCAACAAGGCAGAAGGGCAGGAGGTGAGTGTGCTGCAGGGACTTTTTGGTAAGTTTGTCTAATAGGGAAGGAACAAGGCAATGTGAACTTAATGTTTTTCAAAAATTGTCAGACATTTTCAGGAATGTTGTTTTGTTTTGCTTTTTAACACCATCTATATGTCCCATTCTTAGCAATGAAATTGCTTTGTTAAAACAGGACCCTGCTTCAACTTAAAGTAAAGGGCTAGGTGCAAATCCCTGGTCATGCCCCCGTGCCCTCCGCGTGCCCCCCCCCCCCCAGTGTGAGTCCAGGCACGTGTGTAAATTGTGTATATGGCCTTGTGTATAAGTTATAGTATCTAGACATTTTTGCTTCTCATTTCTAAATGGGAAATAATCATATCAACTGTATTTTATTATGTGAATCGAATGGAATGGGATATGTTAGATACTTGGCCCAATGCCTGGCAAAAAGCCTGTGCTCCATAAAGAGTGCACAGTCCTCGTGAGTGCCGCGGTGGTAGCAGCAATCACCAAGGCTCACTTGTACGTCTTGAAACAAATCTATTCTTTCTCCGATGACTGATGGATGATCTTCACCAGTCTTGGAAAATGAATCTAGCAGAGTCAGGAATTCAAAGCGTCTTGTGTCTCCAGGGATGGAGAGGACCTGGACAGCCAAGGTGATGGCAGCAGCCAGCCCGATACAATTTCAATCGCCTCCCGGACGTCTCAGAACACACTGGACAGTGATAAGGTGAGCGGCAGCCAGTCTTTCGTTGGGGACGCAGACACAGCTAGGCTGTAGGCTAATGTGAAGTAGCCTCTTTCTATCTGTAAGTGACAGTTATCCAGCATTTTCATACAGCTGCTATGTGCTAAGAGTGGGGCCAGGACCAGTACCAGGGGTGAAGACTTGGGGCTGTCAAGGTTAGAAGACATTTACCCCAAGGATTCAAAAAAAAATCACTTGTCCTTTCCAGTGATGTCACCTGGTTTTCTATCAGGGTGTCTCAGTGTATTTAAGCTTTTTTATTTTATATTAAGCTGAAGAACCTATTATTTTAAAATAGTATTTCACAGAGCCCTGGCACATAAAAGTGGAGCTGTTCTGATTGATGATGAGGCAGGCGCACCGGCCTCCTTCACCTTGGCCTGAAGGAGCTTTCTGTTGGGCTGGCCAAAGAGTCCGTTACATTTTTTCTATATGATGGCTGTACTGCTGCTTAGTTGTCTTTAACTTCATTTGAAACAATTTTGTTAGAGTGTATTGTAACAGCCGTCATATCAGTATGCATTTAAAAAAAACAAAACCTAACAAAATCGGTTAATTTTTATGTGGCCATTAGAATATTGAAGATAGAAGGAAATACACAACATTTTTGGTGTGTTATGCTTTATTATTTCAAGGAAGGTACAAATGCAACTGAAATGCCAAAAAAAAAAAAAAGATTTGTGCAGTGTATGGAGAAGGTGTTGTGATGAATCAAGCGTGTCAAAGTGGTTTGCAAAATTTTTGGTACTATTGACATTTTAGCCAAATAATTCTTTGCTGTGGGGCTGTCTGATGCATTGGAAGATGTTTAGCAGCACCCTGGGCCTCTACACACTAGAAGCCAATAGGAGATAACTTACATACTCAGAATATCCAAATCAATAAAATTATTGATGAAAGTGAAAATGTGTCTTTTATTTTACGGAGAAAATGTAACAGACTTTTTGGCCAGCACAACGGAAGCAGGAAATGTGCCCCGGACTGGGCCTGCACCGGTGCTGACTGCCCCAGAGATGGACCTGATTTGTATCACAGTCGACGGTGTTGGCCTGGAGCGCCCCCCGATTCCCTCTTGATAGAATAAAAAAAAAAACTACTAAGTAGATTAACAGGAGAAGCTGGAATCCTGGGCTTACATGATGCACAGCTGCCCTCCGTAAAAGCCAGGGCATTCATCTTGACAAAGTCTTCTGTTCCAGCTGATGTGGGCGCCTGTTCTGTTCTTTTTCTAGAATGTGAGACCAATTAAAAAGCAATATTTTACAGTAAACTGGGGTTTCATTTAACTGAACCATCATCGGTTCAGAATTCCCGGGTTTCTCACTGCCTGATGTGAGCTGTCCTTCCCTGTGTGAGACTCCCATCCTGGTCATCAGAGGCAGAAGCGAAGCACATTCGTAGGAAGGAAGCGCTCTGACCTCACCGTCATTTGGAAATGATTGATGACCGAGAGGAGAGTCCCACCTTGGGGTTATTTGCAGATGGCAGTTTTTACAGTCCCAGACTTTAGGCTTTTCTCACTAAGGTTTGTGGAAGAATTCATGGTGTTTAATGTAATTTCCAAGCCACAAGTTAAGTGGGTTTTAAAATATTGCTTTTCTGTAATGATTTCATTTTCAAAATTCTTCTAGTTTGAATAATCAGTTGTTTTCTTACTGTACTTTTTGAGTTCACTTAATAAGTCCTGGAACTTGAAATGCTTAGAGTATCAGGACTGAAGAATAAAAACAATGTCTCATTTCATTTTGTTCAGAGCTCAGTGTGTTAGCGTTCAGTGCATATTTCTTGCCCGTATTAATAATGAGGAATAAGATAAATTACACGCTCAGGCTTTTAGTTCTTAATAGCATCTCTCTCTATGGCCCCACCCCATAGCCCTTAATAAAATAAAGTTTGAACTTGGAAACATTTCATTAGAGTAATTCTGATTATTTTCTTTTTAAAAAGTAGTAATTGAGGCGATTGAGTAATTTCAGTGCTTAGTTTACATAGGAGTTATAGTAATAATTTGTAATAGGCCTAGGAAGTATAGAAGCACCAGTTGAGGGGAGTAGCCATGTTCGCTCAGACTGTTTCACAGACTTGCCTTGGCTGAGAGTCTCCACTCCAGCTGGAGGCCCATCAAGCCCAAAATTCACATTCTTACCAGATACGTCCTCATGGATCTGGTCTGTGTTCCCCTAGAAATGAGTTTAAAGTTGTTTTTGGTTTTGTTTTTTTTTTTAAGTTATTTGACATTGCCAAAGAGAAAATACATGTAAAAATTTCTGACTTTTGGAAGGTATGTTAAGCCTTTTCTGGAGGTAGTCCAAGGAAAAATGCTGACTTGGTTTTTTCATGCAGTTTATATGTAAACGGGTGGTGGTGAGAATCGGAAATGCCCCCTGGAGGAGATAAGGGGCTCCCAAGGTGCCCCGTCCCACATGGAAGATTTGGGTGCAGGCCTCCAGGGCGGCCCTGGTCCCCTGAGGCGTGGCCGGCGGGAATCCACGGGAGGTTCGCCGCAGGGGCAGGACTTGTCCTGGAGTCGGGAATCACGGAATTAGTTCTGCTTCGGATCTGTTATGGCATAATAGGCTTATGTGAACTTGGAACCGAGCCTGCATTTCTCCCATAGTAAAATCAGGCATGATCCTAAGGGCTATTGCCATTAAAACAGCACATTCTATTTGTATCCCATGAAAGAGGAAGAATAAATCACTGAGAAAAAAGTGTAGCGTTGCAGAAATTGATCATTCTGCCTGGGACGTTAGAATTTTTGAAGAACTGCATATCAGATATTTAATCTGTGGAGATCATTCACCAATTTCTCTTTATGTCATCTAATGTGTTATCTTTAAGCTTCATTCCTCAGCTCAGACATCCCTGCAGGACCACTTCTGTGAAGGCAGCCCCTGTCCCCACCGAGCTTCACAGAGGCGCCCGCTGACGCTCCTGAGTGAAGCAGTGACAACAGATTGTCACTCGGCAGCGCTCAGCTCAGCATTCCCATGATTCTCACCTATCCTGAAGCAGTGATACTCCAAAGCTCAGTTTTTTTAAAGTGGGTGTGGCGTGCATTTACTTTAATACCCCCCTGAGACCATCGGTCCTTCCAAGGCGCAAAAGGATAAAAAGGGGATGAAATATCTTCCTACGATCATTGAACTTCCGTGGGTTATCTTCTTCAGTTCTTGGGGTCTGCGTTGGGGACGAGCATTAACAGGATGCGAGGCTTAGTAAAGAGAAGTGAGCATTTGGGGGTGGGAGAGAACATAACACCCACAAGGCCTTCGAAAGAGAGGGCACGTGTTTGGCACCACCCACGCCTGCATTTGTGTGTGCCCTGCAGGGAAGGACAGGGTCTTACAGCCATCTCCCTTTTTACACTTCTCTGGCACAGCATTTTGGCATCAGGAGATGATTCAGGAGAATACAGTTTGGAAATCAGGAAACTGCATTCTTTCCCGGGTCAGTTTGTAAAATGCAGTTTCTCTGAACGAGCCTTAAGCAGAAAATCCCCTTTTCTTCCTCGGATGGCAAGAACTTTTCTTCTGTCTCAAGGTCCTTTCCACCGTATGTTTTTCCGGTTTATACAGCCTCCGATGACATGGGTAGGTAGATCTGTTGAGGGAAATTACTATCCACATTCTGCCTGTGTGACTTAATTTATGATGTCTGTTATGAGTTACTTGTTATCATGGAATTTGATTCCATTTCAGAAACTGGGTGGGGGGATGTTTTTGACTCAGCCTCTTGGAGAACTCTTAAGGAAAAGTTATCTGCCCAGAGCTATGTCATTCTCAGATGAGGCACAGAAGGTTTTGGGAGGAGACTGTTAAGGAGGGCCTCCCAGAGACACCCTCTTTCCAGGGAGCGCCGTCAGAAGAGCTCAGTAGGCTGCAAACCAGATGCCTCACGAGCACATTCCCTTCTCTGAAAACACCAGTTGCAGAAGATGCCGTTGCTTTGTTCCATAGTGAATTTAGCACTGATTCTTGCCTGCATTCGTAGCACTTAACGCTGATAACAATGAGTTTATGAAAGTGTAATTTGGGTTCCAAAGAAATCAAGTGCTTGCCAGACCCTTATCTCATTTGGCCTGAGCTTGTCCCCAGAGGTGGGGAGGAAAGTGTTGAGCCAGCCTTTGGGACAGTGAGGAGATGACAGAGGCCAATGACCCTGGCAGGGCCGCTGGCACTACTGCACTAAAAGCCAGAGGTGGAATGTGGATTGAATTACCCATTGGTGTCTAGACCTCATTATTTCACACTAGAGCCGAACATGAAACTAAGTATTTTTCAGTATAATAAAGAAGCATTTTTAAACTTTTTTCTTTCTCTGTCTTATTAGTCTGTGATATATTTCATATAATAAAAGTTTATATCATGAGGAAAATAGGCTACTATGGAACAGAGCATCTTGAGGTCAAGATGAAAACCATCCCCAAGGCAAGGTGAGGTGTCTGTGGGGAAAGGCTGTCGCAGACCAGCAGGGGGCCAGGTATGAGCTTCCTTCTGGATTTGAGGTAACGCAGTTCCAATTTTTAGTGAATGGGAAATTCAGTGGAGACGGATACTTGGCTTGAACTTTCCTGAACTTAATATGAATATACAAATCCACATATTTAAAAGTATAAATGGCTTCAGTTACTCTTAATACAGCTACAGCACTGTGCTGGGGACCTGAGATTTCATGCAGTTTAAAAAGTCAACTTTCTCTGTGAAGTGCCCTTCTACACCATAGGAACCGGGTTGGATTTATGGAAATTGCAGTGTTGAGAGAGTATATAAAACACATAATGCTAATCCATTTTAAAATATGGATAATGTGGCTGAATTCACATTTTTGCGAGGGGAGGCTTGTCTTCAGCCTATTTAGAGCATGCCACCCTCTGTCATTGAGCCTCCATCCCTTGCATGCATGGCACAGAGCAGCAGTGAAGGTGAGTCCTGGTTCATTGCTGAACCCTCTCCCCTCTGGCAGGGTGCCGGAAGCAACAGGGCATGTTTGCTCAGAGGGGGTGCCTTACCAGAGCTCTCCAGGTCTCCCAGGAAACCTCACGAAGGATTGCCCCATGTAGGCATTAAATTGAGTCATTTAATTCAGAAGTCTTTCTACATCATGGCACATAGTTTTGATCTCCTCAGACACAATCTGGACGTCTGTTAGCCTTCTCTGCTCAGAATGCAACAGGGTACAAGCAAGCAGGTCCTCGAAAATGTCATTTCTGTCAACATCATTTAGTTATAATGTTGAGGATGTTGTAGGAACCTCTCTTGTTTATCACTATTAGCCTGTGGTAAAATTGGTTTCATTATATCTTGTTTCACTTAAAGTCAAAGAACCTATCAACAAATTAAGTGAGGAAAGACTCAAGTGTAGTTCCACAAATAGCAGATGGTTAAGAACAAGGAGGAGCTCACCATCTGACCTGGGGCTCTGCTTCTCAGCAGCTGGTGGCCTTGGGCAAGTCACCTCTCTGTGCCTCAGTGTCGTCATCTGTAAATGGTGATAATGTTACCTCATAGGGCTGTGAGCATCAAAGATGTGTAATGTGTTTAGAATCACACCTAGCATGTGTGATTGCCATTTTAGTTGTATCTTTTAAATTTAACTTCCTTGCATCTCATTTGCCATTCCACCTCATGTGTATCACACAGCCAAGGAAGCCTTCCAGGAATTGTTTTCATGTCAGAAAACCCATGTGTGATCGCCCTGGTAAAGAGCAGAGGATTAATGTCTGAATGCTATACTCACTGTTTATTTTCTGGATAAAATGTTGGGTATGGTAAGTTGCTGCTTTTGAAAACATTTTTTGCACAGATTCTTTGATGGTAAAAAAAAAACAACAAAAAAAACAAGAAGCAAAATTTATCACCTTAACCGCTGTTCAGTTCTCACAAATTTCTTTATGTACCTCTGAAGTATGAGAGATTATCGAAATTGTCCTCTTTGAAACTCAGTGGCAGATTCTGGGGAACCCTTCTGCGAACTCGGTCCCGGGGTTGGCTGAGCACAGGGACCTGCTGTTTCTGTCCTTAGGACGGCTGCTGTTAAGCCCAAGCCTCCGTGAAGTTGCCTGTCCAGCGTGTGGGCGGGTGAGGCCGCGGGGTATAATTCACCTCGTCGGAGTATTGTTCCGATTCCTGATGGTTGCCTTTTCTGTTGCCCTTGCCAGCAATGGAGCTGTGCCCCCTAATCCCCTTAACCAAGCAATTAGCCTTTGGTCCGCTCTGCGTGAAACCTCCACGGAGCTGCAAGGCCCTATTGTGAGGTTTCTGAATGACTGAGCTATACTGGGCTGTAGGATATGACTGTTCACAAGAGTTGACACACTTTGTTCTTCAGGGGAAAATGGCTTTTATTAGACCACATTCCCCCTTTCCTTTTGAATTGCTCTCAGAAAATTGGCCAGACACCCACCTGCAATCGATCATGGGTGCTTGAAGTCGAATCACTTGCAGAGCAGGCTGCGTCATCCGCCGGGCCAGGCATAAAGGGCCCCTCTTCCTCTGTCAGAGCTTGCCCCAGAGCGCCTCCACGAGCCTGGCCATTCCAGCCAGGTGTTTGCTCTTGTCTCTCAGAACGACACGTCGTATGGAGCTGCCTCATTCTCGTGTGTGTGCCAGGGCCGGGGCTGCTCCAAGGAGCGACGGGGTGAGAAATCCCATCCGTGGGCCTGTGGCAGTCACTGCTGTTAACTGGGTTCAGGCAAAGCAGTGCTATCACTTGGTTCCTCTGGGAAACATAAAATAAAACTCTTTTGTGTGCTGATTGTTGAAGGTTCACGTGCCTGAGACCAGATGTGAGTGTTTCATTCTTTCAGGCGAAGCACAGCAATTTGTTCACTCTCAGTCATTCTGGAGGGGATTCCGGCAAAGGGACCCTGGTTGGATTTGGCAAATAGTCTGATCTGTGTGCCAGAGTCATTGGCAGTCCCCTTGGCAGCCCTTTTAAAGGGACGTGGGGTGGTCTAGAGGGGGCCATAGTGGTGTCCATTCCATGCCCTGCTTAAGGCCATTTTTACTATCATGCATTTTAGTTACCACGTTTATTTTTTTAAAGATGAAAAGCAGAAAGATTTTTTCAAAATCTGTCTTATGGTGTGAATTTCACAGGAGTTAATGTGAGTCACGGAAACTGAGAGTTTCATAACTTGTAATCCTAAACTAAATGCATGTGTTTGGGAGCCATGATAGAAGTTCATAACATGTACAGAAGTAAAGAAGATAGTTTAAAAACGTTCACAAGGCATGGCTGGAAAGGAAAGGTGAATTTTTAACTAGATAAATGAAATGGTGACTCAACGTAGTAATGAAATTGGGCCACTCAGGGTTGAAATGTCATTGAAAGTGAGTAAGACCTAGGCCATACTTAATGATGTATAATATATTGTCTGAACCTTTTCCTAATGGGAATGCAGCAATGATTTGCATCGCTTCTTCAAAATAGTTTATAGTCTTTTATACAAAAAAACCCTTTTTTTAAAAAAAATTTGCAAACCTGGCTTTAAAGAGAGGTTTTATAATAAGTTTAAAATGTTCAAATGTGAACATTGAGACAGAAATCCACAGATGTCTTTTCTCTGGACCAGAAAACATCCATTTAATCCTCCCCTTAAAGATTTGTGCAGGAGATTCTTATGGGAAACACCAGTTGATTCTTAGGGTTAAAGCCAAGAAGATATATATATTTTTTTAATGATAATTTTAGTGCTGTTTTAAAACAGTCTTCTGGTACTAGGTTGTGTTAATAAGTTCTCTAAAGCCTTTGAAAAAGAATTTTAACTCAGTATGTAATTCTTTGTCAGAACAGGCTTGACTTTTATTTCTCATGCTCTGTCAAGTACACAGATGTTTCCAATAGTGTTTTTATTACTCTGTTAGGGGCTAAAAAAACCAGTGCCAGAAATAAGGTCTAGCTTAATTCTCCTTGGGCAGCCCCCTTCTCCCTTCCCACCCTTCCCCCACCCACAGAATGCACCATGTGGCTTTGAGCAGTCTGAAAAATTAATAAAATTCTAGAATGAAATGGCCACAGGCTGGTGGCGAGGTGGTGTGTCTGGAAGTTGTATTTCCAAGGGCTGGGGGTGGACAAGTGTCGAGGCGGCCTGGTGGGCTTGTGCTGAGAGGCTCTGGGCAGGGGCGACACGCTCAGGCAGGCAGGACAGGGTCCTTAGGAAGTGCAGGTCCTGCGGGGCCTCAGCAAGCTGGACGCCGCATCGGGGGCTGGGTTGCTGTTGCGGTTTCCCTGCAACAGGAAACATTCCTCCTTTGCGTTACAGGAATGAACCACTTCATCAAACAGGTTTACGAGGAAAACACTACTCCACGCTGGGCCTCTACCTTTCACCTTCTGATATTAGCGTCCTTGGTTGTTCACTGAGAAATGTGTGAGATTTGCAAGGATTTCCCACAGAGCAATTTGTGAAATTTAGAAGGAGATTAAACATTTGTGAAAAATTCCCTCTGTGGCCTAGCAAAGACAATTTGTTTTGTCATGTCTGTGCTTTATTACGGAAGAGTTTGTTTTGGTTTGGTTTCTGTGGTTGTCCAATGGACATGTGTTTTTTATTCTAAATATCTAAACTTTCTCTTGAAAGACCAGCTGTTAGACCAGGAGGGTAATGAACAGCATAGGGAGGGACAGAGCCTGGCAGACGCAGTCTTTGGTGTGGCCGGGCAGCCGAGGACACCGCAGGCCATGAGCCTGAGCAGCAGGCTCGATTCCCCATCCTCTTCAGGTGGACTGGGGCTGGGTGGCTTCCCTGGACCAGGGATGTCCCTCAGCAGGAGACCTGGAGCCCAGCAGGGAAGCCGCTCAGGAGTGTCCAGTCTAAGGGGACGCCATAAGGACACAGGCCAGAGGAAGTTAATGGTCATGGGAAGGCCATGCACCTGCTTTCCAATGTGAGATTGAGATCATAGTGCTGTGTTTCTTTTTTTTTTTTTTTTTTTTTTTTTAGAAAATTCTAAAAAAAATTTTTTTTAAAGATTTTATTTGTTCATTTTTAGAAAGGGGAAGGGAGGGAGAAAGAGGAGAGAAACATTGGTCTGTTGCCTCTCGCATGCCCCCACCTGGGGACCTGGCCCGCAACCCAGGCATGTGCCCTGACTGGGAATCGAACAAGCGACCTTTTGATTCACAGGCCGGCACTCAACGCACTGAGCCACACCAACCAGGGTGCTGTTTTGTCTTTATGGAGTTTCCAGATGTGCTTCAGAGGGCCTAAGAGTTAGTGGAGTTTTGATAGACAGAAAACAGGAGTGAGCTTAATGAGGGGAGTGAAGGGAAAGGACTTTCAGACCAGAAAATACATGGCATATGGAAAATAAGCTAGTGCCCGCAGAATGTGTGAAGCATGGAGTAGGAGGAGAGCCTGGGAAGGGTTTGGGGACAAATGGCAGAGGGTAAGGAACTACCCTCAAGGAGTGTCCTGAAGGGTTTTTGTCCAGCTTGAAGCATTCAGACATCAAATTGGGAACAAAAACTCTATCCCATTTTATCAAAACATTTCACAATAATCACCCACCCAGTGGTCTTCAAATCAAATTTTTATTAGTTTGCGCTAAGTTTAAAAATGAATAGATAGCACTTATCGAGGATAATAATGTCTCAGGCACAAGAGGATTTGGATGCTCCTATGAAAAATTATATCAGATTCTTACAGCAAAACACTCAGGAAAGCATGATCATACATAAGAATGTGATTTCGTGGGAGAATGAAAGGACGGTGAGACTGGAGAGCTGTCCTCCAGGTGGTTCTCACTGTTACTGGCCCCACTATGGGACGGAAAGCGGAGCCCCTGGCCCAGTTCACAGCCTCACCGCAGAAGTCCAGTGTCCAGGGCCCGCTGACATGTCCCCTCTCCCTCCCCAGCTCTCTGGCGGCTGCGAGCTGACAGTGGTGATCCACGACTTCACAGCCTGCAACAGCACCGAGCTGACCATCCGCCGCGGCCAGACTGTGGAGGTTTTGGAGCGGCCCCACGACAAGCCCGACTGGTGTCTGGTACGGACCACCGACCGGTCGCCCGCGGCCGAAGGCCTGGTTCCCTGCGGCTCTCTGTGCATCGCCCACTCGAGAAGTAGTATGGAAATGGAGGGGATCTTCAACCACAAAGGTAGGAATCCGTGGGCCCTGGCTGGCAGGCGCACGTGGGAAATGACACTGCTGCTTCTGTCCCCGCTTTTTTGTAACCTTGTAATAGGTATGACTTCTTGTCTCTCATGCTCCAGGCCATCATCACTGTGTCTCTGGGCCATTTTAATCCATCAGGAGCTGAAGTGGAAATGAGGGTTTTGCCTGTTACTCAGAAATAACAAATGATTGCCTCATTTCCCATGACGGTGTAATAAGATACTAGTTTAGAGAAGGAGAAGGGTCGTTCTTTTGGGCCCGTGTCACTTAGAAATGGAGAACACAGAGAAGGTACTGTTCTCGCCCAGGCGATGTTGGAAACAGCATCTCCTTATCAGGCTTTCATATTGCGGGCCCTTTATTTCGTTAGTGTGAAATCCCAGAAAGTCAAGCCTGCAGGCCCTGGGAGCTGAGCCACACCACCCTCATAGCTGTGTCTCGGGACGTCCCTGGTCCCCCGGGCTCCCTGCATGAGAGGGCGAGGAGCCTGGCCCTGAGAGAGGCGTGTGAGTCAGGCAGGGCTCGGTGTCGGTGGCTGCAACTGTGATGAGGGACGGGTTTGGAAAGGGGAACAGAAATAACGGCATGTGAGCAAAACGGCATTTCGCGTTCTTCAGTGCCTCCGTTATTTTTATTTTATTTCTCAATTATAGTTGACATTCAGTATTATTTTGTATTAGTTGCAGGTGTACCTGCGGCGACTCCTTTAGGTAAAGGTAGCTGTAGCGGAGCTGCTTTTCCGTGGTGGTCTAGAGGGATCCAAAGTGGGCTTCCAGGGAGAGAGTGAGTCTGTCTCCTGCGTGTCCACGTGGCAGCCACTGGGCCGGTGTGGCTGTGGAGATGTTCTGGATTGAGATGATCTTCAGGTGTAAAATGCACACTGGCTTCAAAATCTAGTCTGAAAAACAAGTGTATAATTACTTTATAACCATTACATGTGGAATTGATATTATATGCCACAGGCCAGGTTAAATATGTGTTATTAAAATTAATTTCACCTCTTTTTACTTTTAAATTATAGCTACCAGAAAATTTTAAACTGTATATGAACTTGCACTGTATTTCTGTTGGACCATGCTCATTTAATCTTTTCTCATACTGAAAAGCTAATTTGAGGCTTAAGGCCTTTTTAAAGAAACATCAGTCTATAGCTTCTAAAACAGTGCAGAATGGGTCGAGTTTATGTACTTTGAACCATATTACACCACAGTCTTCATTTTCTTGCAGTATTGGCAAATGGCCAATTTTTCTAGATTTAGGGGAAATATAATTTGTTTTCCTTTCCTGAGAGAGATCACTACAGCCTGCTGTATTTAAGTTCTTATCTGTTAATTTGGAAACAGTCCAGCCACTGCCTCCATTTGTCATCTGAGCCCTCTTTACGCTCATCACGACATATCCTGGAGTCTATCCTCTAGCCATGGAGGGTCAGTCACGGCCTTGAGGTAAGTGAAGCTGCACAGGGTGCAACCTGAGGAGCTCACCTCTGGAGCTGAAGGCCCGACTGGGTCCCCAATCCCTCGAGGCCTACATAGGCCCTTAATTGTCACTTTAGTAAGAAACTAGAAGGATTTCTTCAGGACTCCAAAGAAAGAGACAGAATTTTTAGAGTTTGGCCAAAAGCCGAGGTGTTGCTTTCATTTCTGGCAAAACTGTCTGTGAGTTTAGAGCAGCATCGGACTTCCCCTAATCTGACATTTGAGGTCAAGTACAAATCTGCACCGGGCTGCCCAGTAGCCCACTGCCAGAGTTTCCTAAGTTGCATAATACACTCAAATCTTTGAGTTTGAGTATAAAATAAAGTCCGATTTTTTTTCTAATGCTAATCATTTATACAGAGGATCCCTGGTGAACTTAGCATGCTACAAATAACACTTGTTCTGGAAGATTTCTTTTTATATGTTATGTGCCTTTCCCGTGGTGTGTTCTTAATTCCTGAGGTTTGTAATTGCAGGCCAGCAGAGAGAAAAGAACTATGTATTTATTACACTTGACTTTGTTCTGAAAACTTACGGAGATTGAGTTTTTTCTTGTTTTTCCATTCAAGTGTCATTTTGTTCCTAGAGCCCTTTTTTCTCTGATAATTTGTGACATTCTAGAAAAGGTACTCCTTGTCCCTCACAAACCGACTAATGCTCTATCTTTCCAAGAAGGTGTGTCTTCATTGAGCATAGCTCGTGTGAACTACCAACCAGTCAGTACATGGGGACTCAAACCGTATTTGTTCTTTCCTCCATTATTTTTCCTATAATGCAAGGAAACTGAGGATTACCTGTTCCCCTGCAGTGTCAGGATGTAGGCAGTGATTTGGGGGCTGTAAATCCTCCCTGGGGCTCTTTCACAAGCCGCTACCAACACTTCCTATCCGTGGCCAAGTCCAGGCCAGCAAGCAGCAGCAACCAGAGTCCCCATCTAGGAGGAAAGGCTTTCACCAAGGAGTCCGGACAGCAAGGGGTGAGGAGCTAGGAAGAGTCCAAAGGAAGACACAGAGACTCTGGGAGCAAGGGGCCACCGCCCCCGGGGACGTGGGAGATCTTGATTTGCTTCTGCTCAGCCTGCGTGCCATTATGACCTCAATGATGCGTGCATGCTCTTGGTGCCTGTTGCATGTGCCTGCTTATGCAGCATCTCATTTTGAGTCCCTGTACATTTGGAAAGTCATACTGGGCTTAAAGGATACTACAGTAAAGAGTTAAATATAACCTCCGCTCCCACAGATTTGATGTCCATCATGCTATGGGTCTCTTCTGTGTCAGACAGGCAAGTGGTCTTGTCTTTCACACTCTTCACAGCTCATGTACATTCGGGAACTGTGATTATGTATTTGTTTTCAGTCACTTGCTGTTAATCTCTAACGATAGTTTCTTAAATGTTTGATTCTTAACCATCCTGACCTTCCCCCAGGAGGAAGAAGCACGTTCACTTATCTCTAGTTCCAGAATGTTCTCAGCCTTATTGCCTCAGTATTTTCTAATAACTCCCCAGTCCAGTCAACTTAAATTTCCATAAATTTCAAATGTGAAAAACATGACCATTAAAGTCAAATGTCTATTTTTTTTATTGTAAGCTATTTTAAGAATTGCATTGTGACTGAATACTCAAGTCAGCCAAGAAGCTCCCAGTACTAACTGGGAGCGCTGCCCAGGGCCCTCGGTGGTTTAGCAGCGTGGCTGGAATTGGAAGCCTGTTGGACAATGAGAATACATGGACTTTGTGAGCACTAGGGGTTTTTTTTTATCATGCTGTATATCTCTGGGTGATATGGGCAGAGGATAAAATATAACTTATTTTAAATGAACAAAAAATGTAATTGTACGTTTTGTTTTTCAAGAGGTGGTTTTTGCATCTGAAACTAGGCTCCAGTGTGAACACTATTCCATTGAAAACCGCCTTCCATTTTGTGGGGAAGGCCCGCATCGGAAGGTTGCCGCAGGGACAGTGTAGACAGGCGGGCTTGGTGTTTCGTCCTTGTCTTGCTCCAGCTGCCACTCTCCCTTCTGCACAGCATCTTAGTCACAAATTAAACAGACGGCAGGCACATTAAAGTAGGATAAGGGTTCAGCAGATCCTTGTGCTCGTCCAGTCTTATTTGTGTTTGTGGTTTACGCCATCTACCATTACATCAGACTCCGCGGTCGGGGCCCAGAGCAGAGTTTGCGTCTGTGCCCCAGCACGTCTCTCCTGCTTCCGGATGGAGGGGCTCTGCTCTCCCACAGTCCCTGCATCTCAGGCATTGATCGACTCCTGGAGTAGGTACCACATAATTATCGCTAATCTCTTAGTAAATCCGAGGGATTTTTCTTCCCTACTGTCTCAACTTGTATAACTTGTTGCTTTTCTCTATTTACTTACTCTTGGTCACAGAAAGTAAACAGGAATATCAGAAATGTTTGTGTTTCCAACAAGGCCAGTTTAAAACATCACCTTTTTTATGCTACCCTAGACTGAGTAATTCGGCTTTTCTCTTTTTACAACCAAAACTACCTACCATATGTGATAGTGTTTGAGAGTTTAGGTCCATGGTTCAGGTGACAGCCTAACAAGCTTACCTAGAGCAGCACAAGGGGCACTTGATGGGGGGCAGTGCTCAGAGCTGGGGGTGATGGGAATGGAGGATACTCAGTAAACGTGGGAGTGTCTCCAATAACCAAGACAAAGCAGCATTGCGTGCTTTCTGCAGGGCACATGTCTCGTGTGCGTAGAAGCAATCTTTTGATTGTCTTTTCTATTTCTAAGGGTAAGACAGTGATCCATCATTGGCCCACAGGTGGCCCTTCCCTGTGCTCAGCCCAGCTCGTTGCATCTGAAATACCACCTTGTGACTGTCTTGACATTGCCTGTCACTTACGCTCCTCCATTACGTGCACTGGCGTAGTTGGAATGGAATGTGGAAAGTTACTTTCTGCCCCCGCTGAAGTCTTTTTTGCTAAAAAACGACTTTTAAGAGAAGCCCTCTCATAGTATAGTTGGAGCTTTCAGAAGATGCCATGATGTGTTGAAACCGCAAGGCCCGTGCTTCGTGTCAGGAGAACCTGAGTTCTGAGTCCCTCTCTTCCTTCGGTGCATCGCACCTCCAGGCCCGGCGGGGGGGTGGTTGATGCTATCTGAGACCCTCCCCAGCACTGATATTCTCAATTTATATTTCTTGGGAGGCCTCTCTGAATAAAGGCCGATTCCAAACCTCTCCCTTTTCCTTTTGCTAACTAACAGTGAGGTGGCAGGTGGGCTTTTTACTAGTTCTTTGATATATTTAGAAGAAAACACCCACTTAAAAGCCTTACTAGCTGAAAGCTCTAAAGGTTTTTCTCCTTAGGATAGTATATAGCCCAGTACTTGCATTTTATTTTGAAGAAGTTAAAAAACATGATTTGTTTTGCTCTGAGTTCTTCATGAGAAAAACAAGAGAACAAAAACATGAGAAATAAAATATCTTGCTTGCTGGCCGTTTGCACCTCTCCACCCAGGGGCTTTAATTCAGCCGCT